AGTGGGCAAATAGATGGATACAAAAACATTGTTTTTAGCGGAATAATTCATGACCGGCGGCAGATAGGAAACAAACAACGCCAACTGACCTATTGTAACGCGGGCATTTTGCAGAATGTACACACAATGATTCCACTTCACCCACTTTATGTGACATCATGCTACTGGCTCATTTTAACCCTTCTTTAACACCACGGTGTACATATACTGAGTTTATGCCAGTAATGCAATGATAATCAAAAAAGTCATTATTTGTGCTCTTGTGCATATGCTTCAGACTTACCATGCTAAAGTGTGTACCTTCTGATTGGTGTGATCAACTGACAAGAACGGACGTTCAGACTGAACATGTTACAGCGTGTACCTTCTGATTGGTATGACCAATAAACAAGAACTGACTTTCAGACTTACCATGATGCAGTGTGCCTTCTCATTGGTATGACCAATAAACAAGAACTGACTTTCAGATTTACAATGATCCGTTCAAGGAACTTGAACTTAGATTGATTTCTATAAAAATCTATCTCGATTGGGGTGATGTAGCTTGTACGGTGATCGTGAAATACTTCAGATTTGTTGGATTATCTACTCTTGATAAAAAGCATTTTTGCTGTCCCATGAAGATCTGGGTAAGAATTGATCTTCAGCAACCCATGTTTGTCCCAAGAAGCAACTAACACTTATGGCTGGTCAGGTTTGCTGACTTGCTTCACACAGTCAACCTTCTGACTTAAATAAACATACGTAACCCTAACAGGTTACCCTGCCAAAACTGAATTATTTGCGACAGCAGCGTAAGTTCTGATCGTTATGACATGAACCAATAGCAATATTCCAGCGATATCGCTGCGGAGGACACCAGAAATGGGCTTCACACATTGTACCCATGTGGGGAATCGAACCCGGGTCTTCGGCGTGACGAGCGAACGCTTTAACCACTAGGTTACCCTACCATCCAATGATCCAAGGAGGAAGTGGTGATCAGATGGTCCTGATGTTGCCAGTGTGGCTCTCCGCGTTTCGTCAATTTCTATATTTTATTAGCCTGGTCGAGACACTATAATTTACTATAGTGTATTATGAGGGGCGGTAGGGTAGCCTAGTGGTTAAAGCGTTCGCTCATCACTCCGAAGACCCGGGTTCGATTCCCCACATGGGTATAATGTGTGAAGCCAATTTCTGGTGTCCCCCGCCGTGATATTGCTGGAATATTGCTGAAATCGGCGTAAAACTAATTTCACTCACTACCGGACATTCAGTCAGTCATGATATAAAGCACCAACTCATTGGGAGACTTTACAAACTGATGTGTTTATTTCGCACATACGAATCCCTATTATTGGGTTAAGGACACTCGTAGCAGTTACAGAGTATTCACAACTACCACACCAATCATGAACTACCAGTGATCCAGGACATGCGTAAGGCTATAGTGGTACTTCATGATCTCTTAGTCTCATGTTCACTACCGTTCTGGGGAAAGTGCCGCAGAATGATGGTAATTGATTTCCGTAGCATGTCCATTGCACTTGACAAGTAGTTAATAGCATGTGCATTTCAGGCAGTGTCAGTAGGGCAGTTATCAGATCAATACAGGCAAACCCGGTATGTTGGGTGTATGCTGAGTCTGGGTGCTGATCATTTCCTATCCGTTGCAGCATGTATGGTAAAGTTCGTTACAAGTGTGTGCTTGATTTCAAGACTCTCGCCTTGAAATGACACGTGGTCCGCGTAAATTAGATGGAATCATTTAGTCATGGCATTTAACGGTCGTGTATCAAACACGGTACGGTAAAATAGGCTGGTGATTTATTGTTGTGTCAAGATTGCATTTTTTTGTTACGAAAGATTTATTTTGAAAACAATGTAATTAATGTATAATTTAGCAATCTTAATGTTCGGACGGTGTCAGTTACAGATTACTTTGACAAACTAGCTGACAGAGTAAGGATACGTTTTTAGACGAATGCTACCATCTGCGGATCTCGACAACAATAAACCATGTAACCAACTTAGAATTATTGAGTGAGTTTAGTGTTTCAGCAATATTCCAGCAATATAACGTGTGTGGTGTTTGCAGTATTAATCTTCAAGGAAGATATCACTACCGTGAAACCTTCTTGTGGAAGAGTACGAAAATCGCGACAAGTTCTTGCACATTAGACCCGTGAAGATCTGGGTTAGAATTGATCTTCAGTAACCAATGCTTGTCGTAAGAGGCGACTAACGGGATCGGGTGGTCAGGCTCGCTGGCTTGGTTGACACATGTCATCGTGTCGAATTGCATAGACTGATGCTCATATTGTTGATCACATATTGTCTGGTCCAGACTCGATTATTTCCAGACCGCCGCCATATAGCTAGACTTGCTGAGTGCGGCGTAAACTAAACTCAATCTCTCACTCTTGCACGTGTACGAAAATCTTGAAACCTTAATGTAAAGGGGTACAATAACCGTGAAAGGCTTGGACATTTTATGCAACGGACCAATATTACAGGCATTAACCACGAATCAAGTTATGAAACAATTCAGAAATAGTACATATAAATTCTGGGTTGGCCATTGTGGCACATTTTATATTGTTGTCTGTCATAATACATCAAGCAGAATCGCCAATCACATCTAGCTAGCGAATGTGTCATCTGGTATAAATGCATGCTACGTGTAGGCACTGTTCTGGGAGAAGCGCCACAGGAAATGGTGGAAATGTTGAATGAGCATGATTGGCGTTAAGGACAAAGCGCATTTCAGCACACACAGATCATTCCTTACACAAATCCACCTTAAAACCCGTTGTAAATGTGTTGGGTTTTAAGCCGCTTTATGCATCTTCCATCACATATTTGCCTGGACCAAACACTATAATCCAAGCTCTCTATGCAAGTCTTAAAGCATGTGTCAAATTTAATAATATTTCTTTTCAACATGTTTTGATTGTCCACTGGGTTTACGACAAGGGTGTATCTTAATCCCTCTTCTTTTTTCCATTCTTATCGATGAACTAGCTTATGAAATCGAAGCATGTTGCGTACCTGGAATTCAGCTTCATCCAGAATTTGTACAGTTATTTCTTCTCTTATTTGCTGTTGATGTTGTGTTTATCTCTGATACAGTGTTTGCTTATCAGAAAAGACTTGATGTCCTAAAAGTCTAACTCTTGGTATTTTATTCAGCAGGTCATTAGTAAGGACCAAGAACACAGAAAGTGTATGTCTGCAGGCTAAGCAAGTTTTCTTTGGTGTATTTAGATCACTGTCAACGTTTAAGCCGTTACCTTTCGACTTGTTCTTTAGATTTATGACACCAAAGTTTGTCAGATTTTATTTTACGGTGCAGAAATATGGGGGCTGAATGTTGTTTAACGAAATAGAAGTTATACATGTAACAGCTTGTAAACGATTTCTAGGAATTAAATTAAATTCTGTATCAGCACATGTTGTGCGGGGCGAATGTGGAAGATATCCATTGTATATTTATGCCATCAAATGGTCCAGCAAATATTGGTGTAAAATATTGAAAACTCAAATGAGCGTTATGTAAAGAAATGTTATACTAGTAATATGTTTGTAGAAATGGAAAGTAGTGGTTGAAAGAGCTGGACATCTAGGACAAAACATACAAGTCTATGCATTCGGATTGGTTTGGCAAGAACAGATGGTTCGAAATGAAACGTTATTTTTAGATGAATTTTTAGGTAGACTCAAAGTTTGGTATCAACAGGACTGGCATTCTGCACTAGTAAAGGACACACAAACATTTGAATACTCGTTGTTTAAACCTATGTTCGGTGTTGAATCTTCTATCCTCACAGTCAACGATTATAAACATAGACGGGCTCTTGCTCAGTTTAAATTGGGCTCTTATAACTACGAATAGAAACTGGCAGATATATTGGACAGGCTAGAAATGACAGATTATATGTAATATCGGCGAACTGCCATATATAGAAAATAAATATCACTTCTTGCTTATTTGAGGTATATATCAAGCATTGCGGCATTTGTACATCCCTTTACGATTTTATGAATATCCAACAATCCACAAATTTAATATGCTTATACAATCATCAAATGCAAGAATCTTAAAACATTTATCAGTATATATATATCAAGCTATATTACTGAGACAGTCTTTATTATAACATTTTCACTGAACACATTTGTAATTCTCGATGTGTAACCTGGGACTATAGCCTATATTACCTTTTTAAATAACCTACCACAGTACAGACATTGTAAACGGATGTCATCTGGTATAAATACATCTTCCATCACATATTTGCCTTGACCAAACACTATAATCTACAGACTGTCTTGCTATCATGAATTGTGACTGCGGCGTATCTCAACATTCACTCACTCATGACATAACGCTTTCTGAACAATAAATGAGTTAGTGAGTGAGTGAGTTTAGTTTTACGCCGCTGTTAGCTATATTCCCGCAATATCAGGGCGGGGGACACTAGAATTGGGCTTCACACATTGTCCTCGGCGTGACGAACGAACGCTGCTTTCTGAACAAAACTTCAACTTATTGTATAGACATTGTAAACTGATGTGTCATCTGATATAACTGCATGGTACATATAGTTACCTTTCTGGGGGAAGCGTCACAGGAGATGGTGGAATGGTACGCCGCAGCCATTGTAGTTATGGACAAAGCGCACTTCAGCACACACAGGTCATTCTTTACTCAACTTCAGCATATTCGTTATATACCTGCGTTGAGTTTTAAGCCGCTTTTAGACATCTTCCTTCAATATCAGCAGGGCAAAGTCGGAAGACGCCCAACCGCTTAAACAATTGCCCTTAAATGGTTTTGAAATATATACTTTTGACATGAACATACCTATACATTATATTTCATAATGTTGGTTTATATATGTGGAATTGTTAAATCATTGATGTACTTGATCTAAGACATGTGAAACCAAAATGAACAATAATTAAATATTAGCAAAGACATTTCCTCTACAGATTTCTCGTTTATTGATTTACAGAACCCTGAGGAACCAAAGTCATGGGAGGGAATTCTGAACGCCACAGTCAAGCCTCCAGCGTGCCCCCAGACAGAATCAGAGTGGTCTTATGTTCACATGCACGTCCCTGGGTACACCGACAGCGACGAAGACTGCCTCTACATCAACATCTACGTTCCACAGGTGCGTGTGACTTCATATCTTAACATACCACGTGTCTCAGTTAAGACCTGTTTTTTGTAGGGTCTAAAATTTCGTTCTGCTTTGACTCGAAATCGGACTATTGGAAATAGCAATATTACGTGTTTTGTTTGTTTTTGTTTGTGGTCTGTAAATAATCGAGTCTGGACCAGACAATCTAGTGATCACCAGCATGAACATCAATCTACGCTATTGGGATACGATGACATGTGTCAACCAAGACAGCGAGTGGTTAGTTTCCTCTTACGACAAGCATGGGTTACTGAAGATCTTCACAGGTTCTTTTATTTTGAAGCCGAATGGTGTCACATAATGCAGCTAATAAAAACCGTACATCCCGGAAGTGAAACAAATATCGATTTTAAGGATAGGAGTGAAAAGGATACTAAGGAAGACATATGTCCGGTGTAATTCATTTGTGTGACATATAGATCTCTCTTTTGCCTTCCCTCGTAACTCAAGTGTAGGCGCCTGTGACACGACAAGCATATGAGATCTCATGGAACACTGCAGATATGTCAGCCGACGTATGTAGGTTTGTCACAAGATGGTGAAAGGTCAAGGACCACTGATCCATCAGATGGAGGCTAGTGGTTAAAGCGTTAGCTCGTCACGCCGAAGACCCGGGTTCGATTCAACACATGGATACAAAGTGTGAAGCCCATTTCTGGTGTACCCAGGTGTGATAATGATGGAATATTGCTAAAATCAGCTTAAAACCATACTCACTCACTCACCCCCATCAGATGGATAGTTTTTGTTTAGGGGCAATGACCCTGTGCCTTTCTTTCTGAAATATCTTACATCTTCTTAGCAGTGATTTTGTGGCTTTGTGTCTACAAACATGTGTCTAATGACATGTTGTTGAGACAGCCCTGTAAGTGCAGCTGCATGATTTGATCTTAAGAGTTCGACCCGATTCTGTGAAATTACGAAATAAATTACTTACTTTAGTCGCACGAGGTATCAAAATGATGTCCGATATAATTGCCTTTTTGAATGCCCAATTTTGAAACGTATGTTCCCATGTTGTTTAAGTGAAAAATTAACTTGCCTTCTCGTGTGTTTGTGATGCCCGTTACACAGGTTAAGCTCACCTATTCCCGAACACTATGTGATAGTGATTCATAAACTGATCCTTATGATATAGTCAGAAACGTACATTGTCATTAATCGTATGATTATCGAAAGTATTTTCTCTTTTATATACAACAGGAATACCATCATTATGGTGTTGTGAACTTCCCTATAGTCATTGTTTGTGAATGGTAGTAGGTGAGGTGAGGTGAAATTGGGTTTAACGTCGTGCTTGAGAATATTTCGCTCATATGACGACGTGCATTCGTGTGTATGTGTATGTGCGGCTGCTTGTACTAGCCCAGACTTAAGCTGGTTTTATAGTGCTAGCCCACTGAGATACCATGCCGCAGTGAAGCATGAATACCCCACTCAGGCACATTATACTGACTCCAAGCCGACCAGTCCTTGTTGTACCCATTAATGCCGAGCGCCAGGCAGGGGACCAACAAGTACCATAATTTAACGTCTTTTGGTGTGACGCGGTCGAGGATCGAACCCGCGACCTTCCGCTCTCCGGGCGGACGCTCTAACCACTACACCACGGAGGCCGTCTTGAATGGTAGTAAGTACAAATGAAGTATAATGAGAAACATCAACCATTTGACGAGAAGAACTTCATTATCCATCTATTGACTAATTTGTCACTGTTTGCAGTCTGAACATTGATTGATGGGCTCTGCAACAGGTTTTAAATGTTCAGCTCAAGTCATGTCAGTTGGACTCATAGCGAGGTTCATTTCCGGAACAGAAGTAAAAACTGTTGAATATTTACACACAAAACGTTTGCTTTTTAAAGTTAAGTTTTTTTTGTCATTTCCATGGAAACAAGGGAGACACTTTCCGGAATCTGTTTCAAAACCGTTCGATACCTCTTCCCGAAACATTGTGAGCGGCCTGGGGATATGCCATCTCCTAATGACTGCTGTTGATATAAATACCGGTAAGGAGATTTTACGTCAGGAAAACCTGGAAGCTCAATTTGTCTGACTGTCTCGTACACAGATTCTGCAATACGTCTTTCTTCGGGGAACAATCGTGATGTGCAATTTATACATCTTTCGTTGGAGAGTTGAGATATAGAGTATAGTAGTTAAAATTGTCACTGTGGTTTTTCATGTAAGTTAGTGAGTGAGTTGGTTTTACGCCGCTAATAAGCAATTTCACGGCGGGTGGACACCAGAAATCGGCTTCACACATTGTACCCGTGTGGGGAATCGAACCCGGGCCTTCGGCGAACGCTTAACCACTAGGCTACCCCTATGCCCCTGGTTTACATATAAAGAGGCTTTCTCCGTGGTGTAGTGGTTAGAGCGTCCGCCCGGAGAGCGGAAGGTCGCGGGTTCGATCCTCGACCGCGTCATACTAAAAGACGTTAAAATATAGTACTTGTTGGTCCCTGCCTGGCGCTCGGCTCGGTTACAACAAGGACTGGTCGGCTCGGAGTCAGTATAATGTGTCTGAGTGGGGTATTCATGCTTCACTCCGGCATGGTATCTCAGTGGACTAATACTATAAAACCAGCTTCAGTCTGGGCTAGTACAAGCAGCCGCACATACACATACACACGAATGCACGTCGTCATATGAGCGAAATATTGTTAAGTACGACGTAAAACCCATTTCACCCCACCTCACATATAAAGAAGCGTCACTGTAATTGTTACTAAATATTAAGTGCTATAAAATTGCGCAAACACAGCTTAGGGGGTCTAGGTACCCTTTAGCGAACACCTGGTGTCACCACTGCTTTTCATTGTTTTCTTCACAATATATACTATCCACAGTTACTTTGCCTCTTTGTTTCAGTGAATCTTTGGCGTCAGATAGTCGAAATTGGTTATTCTCTTGGGCTGACGTCTAATAATTATTTGGTTTTAAAAGGTTTCCTTATCAATAGCTGACGAAGTCTGGTAGTTATGGATAATTACTGTATACAGTTGTGTATAAGTTCGGGATTTCCCCCTAATTCTTCTCAATGGCGGTGTTAGACCCACTAAGCTGGCACAACCAAAACAAGGAAGCTCGGTGTATTTCTGATGCGTATTTAGGGACGGCTATTAGAGAAGTGGTTACGCGTTTGCTGGTCTCACCGAAAGAACAGGTTTGATTTCCAACATAGGTGCAATGCGTGAAGCACATTTTTCACTGCCTTAAGACTTTAACGGGAAAAGAAAAACATCAAACAAGCCATTTGAACCTTTATTTGAGCAAAGAACATAAAATCTGAAATTGAAATCCTCAATTTTATTTCGATTTGGATTCTAACGCCTATGATGACCCTAATTTCAGTCCAGTTGAAACAAGTGAACTCAAGACCTTCAAAGAAAATGAAGTGTTAGTTAAGCGCTTCTAAAAGCATCGCCGTGTGATTAAAATTATGACAGAGGTCACCTTTGTCTTTGAGCTTGTGTTACACAATGTCCTTGTATTGAGATATGTTTTTCTCTTGTCAAACAAGCCGTAATGCTACCATAGAGCTAGAATTATCTGCATAAATCCACGGAACGCCAATCTGAACTGAGGTTTATTGACATTAGCATGCTTCCACGGAACGAGGTCGTGGTAGACTCTTTGATTCAGTTTACTGGGGTTAAGAGCGTGAAATTATATCAACACTTCCTCTATGCACACGGCTAACTAACACATTACAGATCAGTAAAACAGCACTGGTTCCAAGGTTACAATCATACCTTCGGAAAAACCAATGAACATCTCACTAAAACTCTTCGACAATAACTGCAAAGCTGAAACGAACTTGAAGCAAAGGCGATCAATTACGCAAGACTTTTATCATTGACGTGAAGATAGCTTTCACGCGGTTTACGTAACTATCGACCCATCTTGGTAAATGAGACTATCAAAGGCGAACTATCTCTTAATTAAAGAAACTCGAAAGCCAGAAATAACTTTGTAACTACCTGTCACTTGAAAATGGAATTTGTATTCCTCAGCGTCCGATTTCCTCGGCCTGCCAAGACCAGACTCTGATGCTAGAGAGGGTGTTCAATGCTTCGGGCAAGTTTGAATGTTTCAACTGGGTCGAAGCCAGTCTTTCCTAATGAAATGACAGACTCAGCTGATGGTTCCAATATTGCTTTTTCTAAGCTTGGTTTCAAATTAAAGAAATATTTATCTATGGAAATGATTTTGGGTAGCGTGAAATGAAACTAGCAAAAACATTTCCGTAGGTTAAGTCCCGATGGTTAATTGCTATTATGTCTACATGTGCCTGAAGGTCTTCCATTCTGGAAACAATTGCCGAGGACACATGCAGACCGGAATTGACCCAATGTGTGGTCTATTTCAGTCAAGAGTTTTAGCTCCGGGTTGATAACGTCATCTCATACACACCCACACTATTACTCATCCGATGGATTGATACAGAGGTGGTCCAACTGAAATATTTCGGTTATTCCATCATTTCGGTAAAGTATTGTGAATATGACAGCTTTCTTTAATACAATAGTTTAATAATACCAAAACTGACAGTGCTTAAATTGACGCGCTTTCTGTGTCACAATCACTGAACTAAACTCTGTCAAAAAAGAAACGCAACCCCTGTCCTCAGATATGAAAAATTCGTTTGAATGAAGTTATTGCTTCCAAACTAAATTTTATTCGAATGTATTGAAATGATACACGTAATTAATGAAGATTACCATCCAAACAACTGCATTTGTACGCATAAGTGTATTTTATTGCTTATTCCGTCACAACGCATGAAATGACCCTCATGGTGACTTCGCACAAAAAAAACACATGCAAATCATGAAAATGGCAGTTAATGTAGGGGTGTATAAAAGCCCATGTGCTTCCGTATTATATTCATTCATTTGTCGCCGAAAAGCTGTGTTAAAAATGCCACGATTGAGTGCTGCCGACCAAAATATCGCCATTGGTCGTGTTCAAGCCGGAGAAAGTTTTGGAACTGTTGCACGGCACCTAAATGTTCACAAAACAACGATATCCCGACTTTGGAGCCGCTACAACAACTTCAATTTGACCAACGATCGCCCGAGAAGTGGAAGGCCAAGAATCACGACCCCCCTTCAAGATCGGTACATCCGGGTCCATCACCTGCGTAATCGGCATGCCCTACCAACCGTGACTGCCACACAAATACCAGGTTTGAGGAGAGTGTCAGCTCAAACGATTAGGAACCGTCTGAAAGAAGCGGGTTTACGTGCCTGTAGACCAGTTGTTGGACCTGTACTACGCCCCTACATCGACGCCGACGACTCAGGTGGTGCAACAACGTAAGGATACGGACTTTACAAAACTGGAGGCGAATCTGGTTTTCTGATGAATCACGTTTTCTTTGCAACGTCACGACGGAAGACAGCGTCTGTATAGGAGACGTCATAAACGTTTTGCGCCCATCTGCGTCCGACAGGTGGACAGATTTGGCGGAGAAAGCGTCATGGTTTGGGAACCATCTCATACAACCAGAAATCAGACTTGGTGATCGTTCCAGGGAACCTGACAGCCCAACGTTACATCAACCACGTGTTAGAGCTTCACCTTCTCCCGATTATTGACCAACAGACACAGATTTTTCAACGGGACAACGCCCGGCCTCATACTGCACGTGCAACAATGAACTTTCTGCAGAATTCCAACGTCAATGTCTTGCCATGACCCTCTAAATCACCAGACCTCAACCCTATTGAACACCTGTGGGATACTCTGGATCGACGCGTACGTCAACGTCAGCCGCCGCCACAGACGCTGCAACAGCTCGCCGTTGCACTGCAGGATGAGTGGAGAGCCATTCCCCAGGAAAGAATCCGGCGTCTTATCCGTTCTTGTCCAAGGAGATGCCGTGCAGTGATTGCAGCGCGTGGTGCTCATACGAGATACTGAGAAAGACGCCCCCCTGGTGACAAACTGGTGTCTGTGAGATGACTTTTGAACTGACAATTTTAAACATGCCCATCTAGGTTATTATTCTGCCAAATTTCAGACTTCTGTCTTAAATAATAAAAATGCCGTGTCGTCCTAAAACTTCAGATCAAAATCTCTAAAATACAGGGGTTGCGTTTCTTTTTTGACAGAGTTTATTTGTTTATTATATGGCTCTATATCTTCGTCATATCACTCGTGGCGATCCGGGTTGGAATTGGTCTTCAGCAACCCACGCTTGTCGTAAGAAGCGACTGACGGGATCAGTTGGTCAGGCTCGCTGACTTGGTTGATGCATGTGATCGTATCCCAAATGCTTAGATAGATGCTGATGATGTTAATTACAGGTTTGTCTGATGGTTGTACAGACCGCCATAATATAGATAGAAAACTGCGACGTTAAATAACAAAGAAAACGTCTTCATTGCTTTGTATGTAGTAATTATGCCATATCACCATTTTTAGTTTTTGTGACGTAGGTGAGCTAGATAGGAACTCAGTTTAATAATGAAGGGTCACGGATAATCAGTCCAAACACAAGTTCTGAAGCACTGCCAGGAGGTGCTTTCAGAACCTGTGTTTGGATGCATCGTAACACAATCATTTCAATGATTGTCAGAGAGCATAAAGATAGCTGCTACTGAGGATTGCAGTAACGGGATGAATTTATGCCTTCTTAGCATTAAAGAAGTCGTTTGACAATTTTGTCTGATGCATAGGCATGCTTGAAACTGTCAACACAACGTCAAGCTTCCATACATGTTTGATGTCAGCCAAAGTGGGATCAGCAATGCATGGCACTGATACCAGACGTTCGGCTACCAAACGACATGCTGGTGGTCGACAGCGTTCATCCACATTAAGACAAATTTCTCCTGATTGCATTGGCATGTCATCACTTTGTGACCTGTTTAACGCAAGTGGAGTTAACGTTTTTTCAGACAGTGAGTATTTTTTAATCCGTGAGGCTGGTCTTCTGCCTCGGAGTGCATGCATTACCAGGCATCACAGGGGGGAACTTTTGGATTTGGATTGAAGATCACGTCGACTGTACGGACCAAGACTGGGCGCCAGTACTTCCTCAGTGATGAATCGCGATACAACCTATGTATCTAGACACCTCGGGTCGTCATGCTCAAGATTTCAGGATTCCAACCTGAGACCATTTGCTGGTGCAATCGGACGTCACTCCAACCTCTTGGACGATAACGCATGACGTTATTGTTCAAGGTTCAGACATGCCTATTTAGAAAACGAGACCATTGTAAACACCAATTTGCCAGCCCGGTCGCCATAACTCATCCCAATATTGTTAATTTTGAGTAGAATATGTCATTCTGTGATACATTCGCTACCATCTTCGTGTAATATTCTTTTAATGCTCAGACATATTTAGAGAAAAAAGTAGCATCGGAATTCACTGTACTGAAAATTTGAGTTAATCCTTTTTGTATGTCGGACAACTCTTTATGGCGGAGTAAGAGGCGACTAACGGGATCGGGTGGTCAGGCTCACTGACTTGGTTGACACATGTCATCGTATCCCAGTTGCGTAGATCGATGTTCATGATGTTGATCACTTGATTGTCTTGTCCAGACTCGATTATTTACAGACCGCCGCCATATAGCTGTAATATTGCTGAGTGCGACGTTAAACTAAACTCACTCACTTTATGACGGATCGTTTGCTTCTTCTGATCAATAATCGGCACATCTGTCTGATGTCTTTGGCGCTATCTAGAACAACAAGGACTTACACAAAATAATTGGAACAGATATTTGATTCCGATGAGATATCTTTGATCTGCGGCTATATATGTATCCCATTTGTTGGTCTAGTGGTCCTTTAGATGGTAACCTTTATCGGCGGTCTGTGTTTAGAAACGTGGCCTTAGATCATACAACGACAAATGCTGTCGGTCGACTGTACCAGAAATATGTCTGTCAATGTTCTGTGGATAGAGATATCATTGAAAAGTGCGAGATCAGAATACAGCTCAATCTCGTTATGTCGAACTTGTCTCATTTGATAACATTCTTTGGTGTTGAGGATGGCGTCGACAATGTGTTTTTTATATCTGTAATAGTCCGATAAGTCAAAAGTATTTTCGGGCGGCAGCGATGTTCAGATACAATACGTTTATATGTTACATGAATGGAAACCGATAATTAAAAACAAGAACAAAAATATATAAAAAATGGAAAAACATGGCCTTTTTTTAAACCATATTGGGCGTAAACAAAAGTCTGATCGGTTGAAATGTCTTCATGACTACAGCAGTAGCCTGACTGTATTCTCTTTTAACGCGATTATCATGTAGCAGCGAACAGTGTTTGTCTTTATTCTTGGTTGTTTTGCTTTGAATGTTTTGTCAACATGTCTTATGGTGGTAAAGTTTCTCAAGACCCGTGAACATCCGGGTTAAAATTGATCTTCAGTAACCCATGCTTGTCGTTAGAGGCGACTAACGGGGTCGGGTGTTCAGGCTCGTTGACTTGGTTGACACATGCCATCGTATAAAAATAGCGTAGATCGATGCTCATGCTGTTGATCACTGGATTGTCTGGTCCAGACTAGATTATTTACAGACCTCTGCCGTATAGCTAGAATATTGCACGTTTTAAACAACAAACCAACCAACCAAAGAAAGCTTTTGCATGCAGGCTTTAATAACAAACTACAAACAAAATTTGTCTCTGGTATTTATCAAAATAATTGCGTCAGATTATAACGGAAAGCTTACGTCTGTGTAACAGAGAAACGTATGTGTTCCATGTGTGTGTGTAGCAAAAACCTTAGAGGTCTCCGCCACGAAGCCGTCTAGCCTGAGCAATTAGCGTTATCTTAATTGTTCAGGCTTACCTACTTCTATCCTTGTATGTACATGATGCTATCTTTCGACTTAATCTTCAAGACAGGTGGCGCTGACAGCAAGATGGCGGTCCTTGTGCACATTCATGGTGGTTCAAACGAAGTCGGCATGGGAACGATGTTCGATGGCGACGTTTTGGCAGCTCTTGGAGAAATTATTGTTATTAATTTTAATTACAGACTCGGGCCATTCGGTGAGTTGACTGCATTAATCTTTAATCATGAAGCTATTCTAAGTTAGTAAAAATTGTTTTCAGAAGTGCATATCACGCTTCAAGTATCTGTTTCTTGAAATAATGTCTATTTTGCCTCGAAAACCTGTACAATTTGTATGTCACACCAAAGGAAAACACAGTAGACCCTGTTGGGTTAGATGTTTGAATGAATTCACCCTTGGGATCAAATATATAGAAACAACATTTATTGTTGACACGTCAGATTGCACATATGATTATAACAGTCATGTGGAGATACCGGAATAGGTCTTTGGTACCTCTTGCTGGAAATAACAGTGTAGAATGAGGACTGGGTGGTTTGATTGCACGTCAACGTAGCCTGATTGCGTGACACGTACCTCATGCTATCGGTCACTAGTATGACTAGCATGTTCTCAGCACTTCACAAACTACCAAGTGTGTGGTAATATTGCCGACTCTGGCGTTAAACAGCTTTCACCTACTAGCCTTTGTCTTAATTCATATAATTCAGTGACGATCTGACTTCACTGGACTGACTGACTGACTGAGTTTAGTTTTACGCCGCTTTTAGCAATGTTTCGGCAATATCATGGCGGGGGACACTAGAAATGGGCTTAACACATTGTGCCCATGTGGGGAATCGAACCCGGGCCTTCGGCGTGACGAGCCAACGCTTTAACCACTAGGCTACCCCACCGCCCCGACTTCACTGGAACCTTGAGTCCGATTACTTTATTCATTTAATTTTGAGATTGATGCTCATGCTGTTGATCACTGGATTGTCTCGTCCAGACTCGATTATTTACAGACCGCCGCCATATAGCTGGAATATTGCTGAGTGCGTCGCTAACCAACCAACCAACCAACCAACCAACCAGCCAACCCTTCATATAAACTGTTAACAAGTATCAGGGATACTGGCATACATTGTCAGATATTTACATTAGTATGTTCGGACATCACATACATGTCACTCTCTTAACCCGTCTCATTCCAGACAAGAATTCGAGAAACGTTATCAATACGATTTACGTCTCGTCATTTAAGTAAAGTCACAAAATTAGGCTCTGTATTCAATCGTCAGACCAAAAAGAAACCATTTGAGTGAGTGAGGGTAACGCCGCTTCATATAGTATTGTATTGATATCGTCATGTGTTGTCTTGATGTAGGAGGAAATCTCGAAGTGATGACGTTCTCGGACGTTAACCACTTTGGAGGATGGGGGTTCCGAACCTAGAAACAGGGGCTTCCGAACTAGGTAGAAACAATATGAATCTGACTTAACCCCTAACGATATAAATATTTGTTCGCGAAACGTTTTAGCACCTTATGTGCTACCAGAAGCAGTCATCGCGACTGGGAATCAGTACACAGTGTGCTCTGTAGATGTTTTGCAACTGCCCATGATGGCACGATATAACGTGTCAATCCAGACGATTTGTGTTTAAAATTTCTGTGTCCAATTTGTGTGGATGTACCTCTCCTTGTTGCAGGGTTCCTGAGTGGCGAGCGACCAGAGTTTCCGGGGAACTATGGGCTAATGGATCAGACTGCAGCGCTCAAATGGGTATCCAAAAATATTCATTTTTTTGGAGGTGACCCAACCAAGGTCACCGTGGAAGGTCACAGTGCGGGAGGAGGAAATGTCGGTTTTCATGTCGTGTCACCTCACTCAAAAGGTAAGTCGCTCTGAGGTAGGAAAGTCATGAGTATTATGGATAAAACAAACGAATGATATATACTCACTTCCAATATTGAAGGGTCAAGTTTTCTTAAGGCTGCTAACAGACACGTTGTATTAATAAACAACCCCTTTCAACTTAAAAAAAACATCTTTAATGTATGGAAAACCTGTTTAAAGCAATATTCCTCACATTGAATGAAGGATTTACGATTTTACAGAGCATTAAAGAGAGGCATCCTTATAAATCAGAATAGCAAATCATAGAGTCTTAAGATGATCAGTGTCTTCTGTACCCACCCCTTTGGTCAATGACACTGTTACACCGTGACCTCATGCTTCGTATCACGTTCATGAAAAAGGCTTGTGGAATCTGCTGCCATTCATTGATTAAGAGTCGTTGGAGCTCCTGGACAGTCCGTGGTTAATGATGTCGCCTGTACACTCTCCTACCCAACTCGTCCCATGCATGTTCTATTGGATTGAGGTCAGGAGAACATGCTGGCCAGTCCATGTGGTCAACACCTTGCTGTTGCAGATAAGCAGTGACTATTCTTTCCCGGTGTGGTCTTGCATTATCATCCAGCAAAACACGGCCGTAAAACCCATGCATAGCCTGGAGGTATGGTACTGCGATGACACTCAAAATTTCATCACGATATCGCTGACCATTGAGATTACCATTGATGACGTAAAGGTCAGTGCGTCCAGTTGCTGAAAGCCCTGCCCAAACCATTACGGAGGCTCCACCAAATCGGTTGTGGGTAGCAACAGTTGCATCTGTGATACGTTCACCTCGACGACGGAAAACCCTGCGACGACCACCATTCAAGGACAGATTAAACCTACTTTCATCTGTAAAAAAACACGGCTGACCACTGGCGTTGATTCCACCGAGAATGACGCCTAGTCCATGCCATACGGGCCTGTCGCTGACGTAGTGTCAATGGTGGGCGAACAGCAGGTCGATGTGAATGAAACCCCGCAGCATGCAAGAGGCGACGAACAGTAATCCCACTGATCCGGACGTTGTTGACATTCAAGTGTTCAGCTTGGAGATCCACTGTTGTCAAGAATCCGTTATGTAGGGCGACACCAAGTGTCTATCCTGCCTCGCTGTAGTCACCCTTGGTCTGCCAGGTCTTCGTGCATATTCAACTGTACCTGTGGCCTGGAACCTCTGCCACAGTCTCCCTATCACGCTTTGACTCACGTTGAAGTGATTAGCAGTTGCCCGCTGTGTCCATCCGGCTTGCATCAGCCCAACTGCCTGACCTCTTTCTGCTAACGTCAAAACATTTCAAACTCTTTTGTCTGTGTGTTTGGTGAACAATTGTTTGCATGAATAAAAAAGAAATTTATCGTTATCTTCAGAAATGACGACATTTTAACATATATTCCTAAATATTGCTATATAGAACCTTAACCCTTCAATAATGGAAACTAGTATATTTGCAACCCATTACCCGTGATTCCGAAACAATGAAGTTTGAGTCATTGAAAATCTACAGGGCATATTTTCTCAATCTCATCACTCCACATGCCAAATATCAATGTTTCTGACACCTGCTGGACATGGGTTTCGTGACTGGGACGCTCATTTTCCTGAAAACACGCATTCATGAATGAAATTTAATTGCAAGTGCTGTTTGCTCGTGGCAATCAAGAAATGGCTTTACTAGCTGGTGACAGGCAAAATATGTCTTCCCTAGCTATTAACAAACAATAAATGTCACTACTACCAATTAAAAAGCAAGGAATGCCTCCACTAACTATTAGCAAGCAAGAAATGATTTAACATTCAAGAAATGTCCCCACCAGCTGTTATCAAGCAGGAAATGTCTTCACTGGCTATCAGCATGCACAAAATGTCTTCACTAGCTATTAACAAGCAAGAAATGTCTTCACTAGCTATTAACAAGCAAGAAATGTCTTCACTAGCTATTAACAAGCAAGAAATGTCTTCACTAGCTATTAACAAGCAAGAAATGTCTTCACTAGCTATTAACAAGCAAGAAATGTCTTCACCGGCTATTAGCAAGCAAGAAATGTCTTCCCCAGCTATTAGCAAACAAGAAATGTCTTCCCCAGCTATTAACAAGCAAGAAATGTCTTCACTAGCTATTAACAAGCAAGAAATGTCTTCACTAGCTATTAACAAGCAAGAAATGTCTTCACTAGCTATTAACAAGCAATAAATATCTTCACTAGCTTTTAACAAGCAAGAAATGTCTTCACTAGCTATTAACAAGCAAGAAATGTCTTCACTAGCTATTAGCAAGCAAGAAATGTCTCCCCCGGCTATTAGCAAACAAGAAATGTCTTCCCCAGCTATTAGCAAGCAAGAAATGTCTTCCCCAGATATTAACAAGCAAGAAATGTCTTCCCCAGCTATTAGCAAACAAGAAATGTCTTCCCCGGCTATTAGCAAGCAAGAAATGTCTTCCCCAGCTATTAGCAAACAAGAAATGTCTTCCCCAGCTATTAGCAAGCAAGAAATGTCTTCACTAGCTATTATCAAGCAGGAAATGTCTTCCCCAGCTATTAACAAGAAAGAAATGTCTTCCCCAGCTATTAGCAAACAAGAAATGTATTCACTAGCTATTAACAAGCAAGAAATGTCTTCACTAGCTATTAACAAGCAAGAAATGTCTTCACTAGCTATTAACAAGCAAGAAATGTCTTCACTAGCTATTAACAAGCAAGAAATGTCTTCCCTAGCTATTAGCAAGGAAGAAATGTCTTCACTAGTTATTAGCAAGCAAGAAATGTCTTCCCCGGCTATTAGCAAACAAGAAATGTCTTCACTAGCTATTAGCAAGCAAGAAATGTCTTCCCCAGCTATTAACAAGCAAGAAATGTCGTCCCCAGCTATTAGCAAGCAAGAAATGTCTTCCCCGGCTATTAGCAAGCAAGAAATGTCTTCACCACCTATTAGCAAGCAAGAAAGGTCTTCCCAAGCTATTAGCAAACAAGAAATGTCTTCCCCAGCTATTAGCAAACAAGAAATGTCTTCACTAGCTATTATCAAGCAGGGAATGTCTTCCCCAGCTATTAACAAGCAAGAAATGTCTTCCCCAGCTATTAACAAGAAAGAAATGTCTTCCCCAGCTATTATCAAGCAAGAAATGTCTTCACTAGCTATTATCAAGCAGGAAATGTCTTCCCCGGCTATTAACAAGCAAGAAATGTCTTCCCCAGCTATTAGCAAACAAGAAATGTCTTCCCCAGCTATTAGCAAACAAGAAATGACTTCCCCAGCTATTAACAAGGAAGAAATGTCTTCACTAGCTATTAACAAGCAAGAAATGTCTTCCCCGGCTATTAGCAAACAAGAAATGTCTTCCCCGGCTATTAGCAAGCAAGAAATGTCTTCCCCGGCTATTAGCAAGCAAGAAATGTCTTCCCCAGCTATTAGCAAACAAGAAATGTCTTCCCCAGCTATTAGCAAACAAGAAATGTCTTCCCCAGCTATTAGCAAGCACGAAATGTCTTCACTAGCTATTAGCAAGCATGAAATGTCTTCACTAGCTATTATCAGGCAGGAAATGTCTCCACTAGCTATTAACATGTAAGTCTTGTATTTACTAGCTATTAGCAACCAAGAAATGTCTCCACCAGCTGTTAGCAAGATTCTGTATCGAAACGTCGCACTCAAGAAATAAAAATAGTTGTTATAACATAAAGTTTGGTTTATATTGTACTTCTAAAATGCCACTCAAAGAATTTATCCGTTGTGTTTGTTTTTTTGAAAACTATTGTACCTGAAATGGCATAGATGATAGGTCCCATGTGGACAGCAGACATAGTGAAAAAATCCGCTCGCCATTTAATAATTCGTGTGTTATTTGCAAGTGGGTAATTTTGCATCTGGCTGTATCAAAAACGTCAGTCTCCATATCCAGCTTCTGAAAGTTCATAGAGCTTATTATTATATGCAGGTAATTTTTGTCCCGTGATGAATCTGAAAATCGTGAGAGGGGCAATGTTCCTGCTCAACAGCGAACACACTCCAGCAATCTTCTGTATGTAAATACTTGGAAGTGGATTCACAGTATGCCATATTTACTCTAAGGGTATTTGACTGGTCAAGAAATTCCAATCCAGCGCTAGTCCTATATGAATTCTGGGATAGGTTTTTATTCATAAATACCACCAATTGACTTAATAGTTTATTCTCTCTATAGGACTGTTCCGGTACGCCATCCTACAGAGTGGGTCACCGACGGCTTACTGGGCCCTCCTCCGGCCTCCTGCTAATGCCATCTTCAGAACAATTCGCTTTGCCGAGAAACTTGGCTGTTATGCCGAGCAGGATATGCAGAAACTGAAGCAGTGTCTGAAGACCAAAGACTGGAAGGACATCATAAAGGAGGAATATGATGTAAGTGATAAAAGGTTTGAGTGATTGAGTGTGTGAGTCAGTTTAGCTTTACGCGCTTTTAGCAATATTCCAGCAATATCACGGCGGGGACACCAGAAATGGGTTTCACACATTGTACCCATGTGGGGAATCGAACCCGGGACTTCGGCGTGACGAGCGAACACTTAACCACGAGGCTACCCCACCGCCCCAACAAAGGTTTGACATATTGGTATAAAGTTCCAAACTGAATTAGCTGTGGTGCAATTTCGAGTGGTGTGTACTGTGTATGTTTGTTGTGTAACGCCTCACTCAGCAATATTTCAGATGGGGGATGGGTGGTAGGGGTAGGGGGAAAGAAATGAGATTGATATTTACACCACCCAAAACAAAAAAACCAAAACAAACCCTCCAAAAACAACAACAATAAACAAACAAACAAACAAACAACAACAAGAAACAAAAAAATAAAAAAATTTACAAAATAAACAACAAAACATTAAAACAAAAAAACAAAGCAAGCAAACCCCCCAAAAAACAAAAACAACAACAGAAAAATATAAAACGCGGCCCTTGTTTCCGGGGTTCAGTGACGAGCTCTCTGCCAGTCCCATCGCCTGAACCGTTCTTACAGGAATCTCCAGTGATTGTGTGCTTCGCTTTTTGATCCCACAATGTATCGGTTTTGTACTTTCAGGACGATTATAACAGTGCAAAGATCGGGATTGATCCAGGTTATAACATCCTGGACCTTACTGAATCTTTCAGAAAGAGTTATGGGAGACATTTGGGGGGTAAATTTAAAGTGACAAATATGATGACCCCCGCAATTCCTTATTTTCACTTATACGATACACTGTATGTTCTCATGTTTGTTAAGACAAAATACTTGCCTTGCCTTTGCGCGATTTTGTGACCGATATGATGACCTTTTCGCGAACACTTGGTTATCATCTCTGTAAATAGTCAGTATAACACATCATAAACCATCTGTTCTGGAGAACAATAATCGTACTTTTTTCGTGGAAACACTCCGCAGAATCGTGGTTATTTAAATGCACCCAAAGATAACAAGTGCATTATTTAGAAGGACGCGTCTTGCATGCCACTGATCCATATCGGAAGTAGACAGTCCATTCTGACGGTGCCATTATTCTGTGACGTGTAGCACCGTTGTATGTCTCCTCGATTTAGGCGAGCCATGTCTGTGTCTAATGAGATATAGCAACTCTAGGCTCACCCCAGACATCTCAATACATAAAGCATACATGACAGATGTGACCATGCGAATGTCAAAGTTGGTCTTCGACTAACTAAGAGCACTTAGAAAAAGATGTTTTATCGGGGCAAGTTGACCAAAGAAGTCGCTTTAAGAGCTGTGACTACACCATGACATCACTATATAACCTTGAACAAGAGCAAACTTTTAGACTCTTCCGAAAAGTATTAAGAAGTACATAAATATGTCCCCGGTCACATGCACGAATGAACGTTGATCAGTTAAGGGGGCGGTTGGGTAGCCTAGTGGTTAAAGCGTTCGCTCGTCACGCCGAAGGCCCGGGTTCGATTCCCAACATAGATACAATGTGTGAAGCCCATTTCTAGTGTCTCCCGCCTTGATATTGCTGGAATATTGCTAAAAGCTGCGTAAAACTCAACTCACTCACTGATCAGTTAAGAGTTGAACAGTTTGTTCAGAACGTTAAATCTACCTTCGTGGTTGATCGCAATAGCATTATTATGACAAGGTCGTTAATATGGCACGAGTAAGGACCCATGATAGTTTTACGTTGCCTTGTACTGTATTCCTGGTTGGTTGGTTTGTTGCTGAACGCCGCACTCAGCAATGTTCCAGCTATATGGCAGCGGTCTGTAAATAATCGAGTCTTGACCAGACAATCAAGTGATCATCGATCTACGCAATGGGAATACGATGCCTGACCACCCGATCCCATGTGGGTTGTATTTTGTTTCAACACCTGTAATTATAGTAAAGGATTAAACAGGTCCACTATGTGGGTTGTATTTTGTTTCAACATCTGTAATTATAGTAAAGGATTAAACTGGTCCACTATGTGGGTTGTATTTTGTTTCAACATCTGTAATTATAGTAAAGGATTAAACTGGTCCACTATGTGGGTTGTATTTTGTTTCAACACCTGTAATTATAGTAAAGGATTAAACAGGTCCACTATGTGGGTTGTATTTTGTTTCAACACCTGTAATTATAGTAAAGGATTAAACAGGTCCACTATGTGGGTTGTATTTTGTTTCCACATATGTAATTATAGTAAAGGATTAAACAGGTCCACTATGTGTATTGTATTTTGTTTCAACACCTGTAATTATAGTAAAGGATTAAACAGGTCCACTATGTGGGTTGTATTTTGTTTCAACATCTGTAATTATAGTAAAGGATTAAACTGGTCCACTATGTGGGTTGTATTTTGTTTCAACACCTGTAATTATAGTAAAGGATTAAACAGGTCCACTATGTGGGTTGTATTTTGTTTCAACACCTGTAATTATAGTAAAGGATTAAACAGGTCCACTATGTGGGTTGTATTTTGTTTCCACATATGTAATTATAGTAAAGGATTAAACAGGTCCACTATGTGGGTTGTATTTTGTTTCAACACCTGTAATTATAGTAAAGGATTAAACTGGTCCCTTGTGTGGGTTGTATTTTGTTTCAACACCTGTCAGGGATATTTTGTTTTAATGGGCTGCAGAAGACCAATTCTAACCCGGGTCTGTACTGCATTCAGATTTATCATGTGGCCAATCTTGACTTGGGACTGAAGCCGGAATTGTTGCAGGGTTCATTGTCGTGCCCACGACCACAGTGCCGACAATAACAAAACCAGAATCATAATCGGTGCAAGTTTATGGTCACGACCAACGATAACTGATTCTGCCATCTTACAAACTCTGCGGCACCTCTTGATCTTTTTAAATCGAGGCTAGATATTTAACTTACAACTACAAAAGAAAAAAATAATATGATACCACTTAAACTATGATTGAAACTATTGTTTGTGAAATAAGTGTGATTTTGTTCATTGCATGCAATTTCCTTTTTTACACTAAAGCGTAATTACTTAATTCAAACCTAAACATGGATAACATCTTTTTTTCGGAAAATCCAAGCCATGGATTGGTACCTTGATCAGCTCTCACAGGTGCCGTACCACTGCCTCATTAAATAACCACTCAATCGGTGTAGAAATGAGTTGAAACAGCTGCGTGTCTTGAAGCCTGAATACATGTATTTTACTGGAGCTTTACATAGGTTGGTGCGTACCAGTCAGGGTCACGTGTTTTTTACAGGATTGGTTGGTTGGTTGTTATTGATACGCGCCTGAACGCCGCACTCAGCAATATTCAAGCTAAATGGCGGCGGTCTGTAAATGATCGAATTTAGACCAGACAATCTAGTGATCAACAGCTTCAGCGTCGATATACGGTATTGGGATACGATAACATGTCTCAACCAAGTCAGCGAGCCTGACCACCTGATCCCATTAGTCGCATTTTATGACAAGCATGGGCTACTGAAGATCAATTCTAACCCGAATCTTCACGGCTTGTTTTTACAGGATGTATTTAACATTGTTTAGAAAACATTGTTTAAAACAACTGTCTGTACTTTACACACTGTTCTTTAATCTAGGAAGAATGACTGTACTTTTTCCGTTTTTCAGGAATCTCTTACTGGTGGTTTTGGTATTGAACGGAATCTTTTACTATCTTTTTATGCTCTTCACGAAATCGTTTACTGGGATGTTTTGTTTTCCAACGAATCTGTTCCTGGTGTTATAAGGAATCTATAACTCCCTTGTTATGTTTTCCAGAATCCTTTACTGGGGTTTGTATGTTTTCTAAGAAATCTAATACTGGGGTTTTACATTTACTTTTACTGGGGTATCTGTTTCCCAACAATCTTTTAAAAGGGTTTTATCTTTTTTTTAGTACGTGCCAGGGATGTACAACTTCTCCCCCGTCATCGATCAGCAGTTCCTACACAGTGACCCAGAGACACTTCTGAAAGACGCCGACTTGAACGGCGAAGTCTTCATGACAGGTGTTACCCGAGATGAAGGGTCGCTTACAGGTAACGTGCAAGGAAGAACCGTAACACTGACGTAAGACTGGAGTAAGTTTACATTGTAATTCCTCTGTCAGACATATTTAATTAATGACTAACAACATGAAAACTGAATCTCCTCATTCTTAAAATATGGATTTTCATATATAATGACGGAGATCGTCTCATGAAAACTAAAAACTGTTACTTCTTATCGTCTAATGTTTGAGAATGTTATGTTTGACGTTTGGAATGTTTGAACACGGGCAGACATTTAAATGTTACAAACACAAGGAGAACAGTGCCTCATTTAATTTATATTGCTTTCTAAAATGAGAAATGATTGTCATTTACGAGATGCTGTTTAAATGTGCATTTGCAACCCGTTAAGAGACTACTTCTGAATAAGTTACCGGTGTATATAGTCAGCCTTTTGAAGTTTACAGGTGGTTTTCATGATTTTCACGTATATTCTGATTGTATGGCGCCAGTGATTTTACGATGAGACTTACCAAGTATCATGTCTCCATAAATGTGTACAGAAATGATTTCGTTTCGGAAGATTAAAAACCTGTAATTATGGAAAGAGTTGAACTGGTCCACTATGTGGGTTATATTTTGTTTCGGCACCTGTAATTATGGTAAGGAATTAAACTGGTCCACTGTGTGGGTTATTTTGTTTCGACATTTGTAATTGAAGTAAAGGATTAAACTGGTCCACTAGGTGGGTTATATTTTGTTTCGACACCTGTAATTATGGTAAGGAATTAAACTGGTCCACTGTGTGGGTTATATTTTGTTTCGACACCTGTAATTATGGTAAGGGATTAAACTGGTCCACTGTGTGGGTTATATTTTGTTTCGACATTTGTAATTGAAGTAAAGGATTAAACTGGTCCACTATGTGGGTTATATTTTGTTTCAACAGCTGTCAGGGTTAACGAGAAAATGGATATTAAGCTGACGCCGTGGTTTGTGGAAGCCGTCACGACAATTGACATCGATATAGGTACAGCTTTGTATTATAACATGTGGTGTCTACTGATCCATTCTAAACTCTTTCCTACAACCGTCAACGTATATTCAGGGTCCTGAGCCATAAAGCGTTCGTAACGTTACGACCTGTCGTAACTCTATAGTCTATCAAACGCCAACGAATATCGTAGCGCTACGAACGTTTTGTGGATCGGGACCCAAGCTTTTAAACTCAATACCGACGTCACTTCCAAATTAGTCGAACTGTTTGATTGATATGTTTATAAGTTGGTAAGTATGTAAAAGCAGCACATTTTATAGATACCGTCTTTATTCCCTTACATTCTATATACCAGAATAAAACGTTGGAAGCCTTAAAGTATCTTGCCTTTACTGTCAGGGAAAAGGTGCGACAACTCTAACCATACCAGGCTCAACTGTTTGAAAGAGTTTACAATGGATCTTGGAAACGTCATGACATACTGCCATGTTACTGTATGCGGTCTTCTGATGTTTTTCAGCTGAAATCGTGGTTAAAGAAGCAGATTTTATTGAACTTACCCCAGTTATTGCCGGGACATTTACCCCACCTCCCCAAATCATGAGAAACATTCCGGAAATTATTGGTAATGGGCAAAAAATAACTGGATGTAAATTTCATTTTTGAAATATTTCCTTTTGCGACTTCTTTTCAATTCTTTAACAATTGTATCATTTCTATTTTAGTGTTTGATTGGTTTGGCGAATTTTGATACACTTCAAATTATTTCCTTATCACAAGATGAACTTCGCTTGCAGTTTTATTGCATTCAAATAAATATGATTGGTTAATTTTGAATTATTTGTCAAATTCGTTCTTGTTGCATCTTGACAAACTTGATTACATACATGTTTGTTTGCATCAAAAGTCCTGGGTGTACGAGCGGATTCAGAAAAGTAGGGAGCAGAATTTACATTTAGAAATATTTAAGAAAGGAAAATATAACATTATGGATTTCAGTTATGTATCAGAATTTTAAAATAAAATAAAATTGAGTACCCACCAGTTCAGTACTACAACCTACCTGACTCCGCTCCTTGTTGTACATGTCACTCACAGTATATATGTTTGTTTAGTGTTTGTTTCAATATTTAAATAATTTAGGAAGCAGATATAATTCCGAAACATGCACATTCTGCCTAAATGATACACTGACACATTGGAACATTCCGATTTTTGATGGGATATAATTGTCATGTAATTAAGGAACATTTTAGTGAAAGGAATGTCAGTAAAATGTCTAAATATATTGAATACGGTGAAAGCAGACGGAAACGTCTTTTCGGTTAAGCACGTTTTCAGTTCTCTGTACCATATGTCCAGTAATGTTCATCTCATATTTCAGTTCTCACTTTGTTAACATAGTGTTGCTTTTAATATCTTCACAGTCGTACAACCTCTTCATATTGATTTCATTATTTCAATATTTGTGAAAAGATAAAGCATGATATCCAAGACATAACTCTGAACACAAACAGTTTAAGTATTTCCGGACATGAGTCATGAAGAAATATGACAATGCTTAATAAATATCAAGTGATTGTAGTCTGTTTTATATGGTTTATACTGTACTACAGTACCATCCATGTAGGATGACATAGTATTACCATGGCTGATGGTCCAGGGCGCCGTTCCTCAAAGCGATCGTAGCGCTAAGGTGATCGTAACTCCCATACTTTAACATAGACTTACGACTGTCGTAGCACTACGATCGCTTTGAGAAACGGGGCCCAGCAGTAACATATTCAAAGAATTCGCGTGAACAATGTCTGAGAGAGCCTTTGGTTGGATGGGGGCTTTGACCAGCAGTCCTTGGTCAATGGCAAGATTTGACCTTCGGTGATATGTTTGTTAAAAGAGCACGCACCTGTCAGATCGGTTAGGGAAAGGATCTCGTTTCGCGATACGTCTTCCAGTAAGGAACTTAAGAACCATGTAGTTCAGTGTCAGCGTGATACCATTCCTCTTTTCTGACATTATAGTCCCGTTTACATGTACCTTAAATGTGTAACCTTTACCTTTAAGTGATATAACCATTTTCATAGATCCACTAGATGACATATATTCTTAAAATGTGTTAGTGACTGAATAGAAATATTTGCCATATGGAATTGAAGCTGTATATCTGTATATGTACATATGCGTTTAGATGTGCCTTATAGATGTATGCCAGATGTATGTTTGTTACTTTGACGTCATAACGAGACCACACTCATGTGACACATATTTCTCGCAGACCTTGTTGTCCACGAATATAAACCATGGAAAGACCCTGATAATAAGACGGCTAACATCATCGGACTCTCTGACGTAAGTTTCCAGAACCTTTGTATGCTAACTATTTGAACACTGGCTGAATTGGGTGGGGATGAGAGGCGAGGAGGGGAGATTGTTTATGAAGAGAAAGTAGATATTATTTCAGCTTCAGCTGGAAATCCAGAATGTTTTAAATTGAAACTATGATCCCAGAGATATCTATCTTTCCAAAAAGCTTTTCGATAGAATGCCAGGCCTCATGAAGAACATTATGTGATAAGCCCCTATTAGATCTGTTTAAGGGCTTACCTTGGTTACCTTGCTTAATTGTAATCATTTGCACTCCCTTCGTTTGGTATACAATTAACTCTTAAACATATCATGTATCATTCTGTTGGTTTTCAAAAAAAATGAAAGTGAATATTCTTTTAAAGAACTGATTTGTTTATGATAGTTAATGTTTTGTATTAGATAGGTCATGCATGTGCCCTTCAAGTCTATTGTGTATCCCTAATCATTAAAAAGAGATGAAAATGTAGAATTTCGTCGCATTGGTACCTGTGTTATGAACTGCTGAACATGTTTATTCTACCTATGTAATAAACTATCACATCCTATATTTTAGAATACAATATTGTCATCATCAATACGATACTTATAATAAAACGTAACATCTATTACATTACGATGGCTCAAATATCATTTTATGAAAAAGAAAAAAGTGGTTTGTATTTAAATGTTCTCCACTATACCGATACGAACCTGTATTTCAGAGAATTTCTCTGTCTATAGGTTGTTGGTGATTCAACCTTTGTTGCTCCCGCCATTGATGTCGCAAAACGTCTAGCGCAGAGGACAAAGAACGTATATTTTTACTCATTTGAGTATCACTCTCAAGTTTCCATGAAACCATCATGGCTGGGTAAGTTGTCTTTCATCACGGACGTTAGTCTCTCGTACAGACCCTGAAGCAAATATATCCAAGAAAGCCTACACAAGTCTAGAAAATGTGGCAAGTCTAGATTTCCTCAGCTTCAGGTCTGCTCTGAAAATGAAGAAAGTCTCAGGGCTCCTTTTCATTATATATATTTTTTTTACTATGAACTTTTTTCAGTAAAATATGTTCATTTCAGAGACTAGTTGTTAGTCTACACGGACGTGTGCCCATACATTACAGCCATAGTTTAAAAAGTGAAGGTCAATTTGCGAAGAATGAAAGTAAATGTTATCTGAACTTTTCTCAGAAAACAGTGTGTGCAATGCTGTATTTCCACACTGATAACATTTGGAGATTTGGCCATTTAGGCAGGAAGTGGTCGTTTTAAGTTGCACCTTCTCTGCTCGGATTGATAAATGAAAACAAGTGAATTCGGAAAGAGTAACAGATATATCGATGATCTGTTATTAACTGTGCTGAGTGTGGCGTAACACTACAAACAAACGAGAACTGATTGTACTTATGCATAATGATACAAGTATTTTCAAGCAGAATTGTATTTCCTTTGCACTTAAATGTTTGTATGTCAGTATTATACAAAAAGCAATAGACACAATTACAACCTTACAGCAGATAGACCGCCTCCGTGGTGTAGAGGTTAGAGAGTCCGCCCGGAGAGCGGAAGGTCGCGGGTTCGATCCCCGACCGCGTCATACCAAAAGACGTTAAAATATGGTACTTGTTGGTCCCTGTCGGGCGCTCGGCATTAATGGGCACAACAAGGACTGGCCGGCTCGGAGTCAGTATAATGTGTCTGAGTGGGGTATTCATGCTTCACTGCGGCATGGTATCTCAGTGGGCTAGCACTATAAAACCAGCTTCAGTCTGGGCTAGTACAAGCAGCCGCACATACACATACACACGCATGCACGTCGTCATATGAGCGAAATATTCTCAAGCACGACGTAAAACCCAATTTCACCTCACCTCACCTTACAGCAGATACATCTCATCATTTGATGCATGTGATCGTATTTTTTCGTTCTGGCTCACTGGGAGTATTCTTGATGCAGACAATCTCGTCAGACAGCTCTTGAAGAGATACGTTATTTTTCTGAAAGGCCGAGACCGTATTTACCAGCTTTACAAAGTTTACAAATAGTCAACATGGCCAATTGACGACCACGTGACTAGTACATTAGTGACATACCTCAGAAAAAGACTCCACACGATTCTCCAACTCATTGTAGTACTCTGTAGTACTTTCCAGAACCTGTCTAGATATAGCACATCACTGCCTATTACTGACCACATATACAGTGTATTGCACTTGGTACATTGTTACGCAATGACTAACGCTGTAGAAGTACCAGTAAGTCAACTAGTCGGCCTCATACAGTACATTGCTATGTTGTAGGAAGCCGTGAAGATCCGGGTTAGAGTTGATCTTCAGTAACCAATGCTTGTCGTAAAGGGCGACTAACGGGATCGGGTGGTCAGGCTCGCTGACTTGGCTCGCTGTCATCGTATCCCAATTGCGTAGATCGATGTTCATGCTGGTTGATCACTGGATTGTCTGGACCAGGCCCGATTATTTACAGATCACCGCCATATAGCTGGAATATTGCTTAGTGTGGCGTAAAACTAAACTCACTCACACACTACTATGTTGTAGGTGTACCCCATGGGCGAGACCAGTTCTACCTGTTTGGCTACCCTTTTACTGGACACCCTCTGTACGTATACACTGAGGAGGACAGGCAGGTTAGCAAAGTCCTCATCAACATGTGGAGCAATTTCGTGAAAAATGGGTGAGTATACATGTACTTCCTCATCTTTTGGAGACCCAGATAGCTATCAGTTCATTGGAGAAAAAGGTTAATGTATGCAGCCATTTCTATTACAATCAAAACACGTTTCGACTTATATATTTGTATTTAAACTGTTACCACCTAGTTCTGTTCAATTTGCATCGTCACGCCAGAGGCCCGGGTTCGATTCCTCGACCGGATACAATGTGTGAAGCTTATTTCTGTTGCCCCCCCTACGCGATATTGCTGGAATATTGCTAAAAGCAGCGTAAACCTAAACTCACCCACTCCAACTTGTAATTGAAAACAAGGAATGTTTAATAGAAACGTTTCCAGTCCCATGAAGAAATGGGTTGTTCAGTCTTAGGCGCTGCAATTCCTTGCGGTTCGCTCCGATTATCCACAGGTTTGTCTGAACCACACATGTGCTCCTGGGTGTCTGGTTTCACCTAACCCGTGAAGATCCGCGTTAGAATCGATCTTCAGTAACCTATGCTTGTCGTTAGAGGCGACTAACGGGATCGGGTGGTCAGGCTCGCTGACTTGGTTGACACATGTCATCGTATCCAAGTTGCTTAGATCGATGCTCATGCTGTTGATCACTGGAGTTGTCGTGTCCAGACTCGATTATTTACAGACCGCAGCCATATAGCTGGAATATTGCTGAGTGCGGCGTAAAACTGAACTCACTCACTCACTCACTGGGTTTCACCTCTAGGTAAACCTCTAAGACCTGCATCACCATTAAATCTGAAACGTTCTGATATTACTGTAATAACATGGCTTTAAACCCAGTGCACATTTCTGATCTAGTTTTGACACGTGAAAGTTCATGAAGAGCATAATGATATGTTTTATTTTGTTTGACGCCGACCAGGAGACCATCCTTAACTACTGGAGATAATCAAATAGATTTCGAAGCTTTTGACGCTCACAACCAAACCTATATGAAAATCAACGGCATTGAAGGCAACGGGACAATAACAACAGACCAGAGACTACGTCCCCGCCAGGTGGCGTTCTGGAACTCACTGCTTCCGCGAATGCGCAATAAAGAACCGGAAGTGAAGACAGAAGCATATGGAACAGTAACATGGGTTTTAATCGTTCTATGCGTTATCTTGTTTATATGTATGGTTGTAAGTATTGCGTGCGCTGTACATATTCGCCGTCATAATTCACCACCAACCTATGCAGTATAACGTAATCTGTTAATAGGGAACTTGGTAGTACATCTTTATCAACGGTTTTCATCATTATCAGTGCATGCGCTCAATGTGCCATATGTTGTTATGCAGAGATTAAAAAAAGCAAAAGTAAGAAATGTAGCGTGCGTCTTGATAGTTGTATGTGGCGTCTTTCAGTTCCTTGTTCATTTGATATATAGGTTATATATGGTTATTCCAATAGTTAAACGCGGATTTATAGAAACATCGTAGAAAAGTAGGTTAAAAGCCATATGTATATACAATATATGATTATCAAGGTATGGACTGTAGGCCTACATCTGAAATGTGTTTTTCCTTAAGATCGCTTTACATCTGCAGTGGAAATGAACCTGAGAAAATAAATGCAAAGCAGAAGTAAAAGCATAACTTTGCAGTTTGTTTAAATGCTATTCTCATATTCTCTTATGTAAGTGTGTGTTCATCATCTGTATGGGGCTAAAGTTCTCCCGATAAACAGAAATGATAACTAAGAACTTGATCACAGTTACTGGTGAACTGTGTTTCAGCATTACTCACAAAAGCAATATTCTACTTGTTCCATGTTTTGATTGTTTGCGTCCTCGCTCAGAAATATCAATAATCATTAATAATTAATTGCTAATTTCTGGTATAAGAACTGATATGATACCTTATTGTTCAATATGTTCTGACCTTAAACAATCCCATATATGGTGGGAACAGGACGTCTCTCTAACGCCCGTTGGGTAGCCTAGTGGTTAAAGCGTTCACTCGTCACGCCGAAGAACCGTGTTCGGTTCCTCACATGGGTACAATAACTGAAGCTATGCTTCTGGTGTTCCCCGCCGTGATATTGCTAAAAGCGGCGTAAAACTAAACTCACTCTCTCTTTTATAGACATACACTTTGATCACAATGGGTGTTAGTTTTAGAAAAAGCAGCATTTTTGAATTATGTTTAGAACTTTAAGTCATTAATAGTCTGGACTTGTACTGGTGAACCAATCACTACGACTAAAATGCGTTACATATTGAAAGTGAGAATCGCTTTAAAATAAGTAGTAATATTGAACGTCTACTGTTATAACTGTCCATACAATCACCATTTTAATATAACCACATGTACATAAACATGTTTTTATAGTGTTTTATTAACATTTCATGACCGTCATTGTTGAACCGTGAAAGACATGCCATGCTGCCTCAGACAGAAATAAAGCATCTTGAAAGTGTGTGGCAACATGCAGTTCTTTTGCGGTTCCAACTGCAATGTCAATATCGCTTGTGGTGTGTCCCTCTTTGGATTGTACATGTGAACGTTGTATCACAAAATCAGTTTCTTCCACCAATCGTTGTAGTATTTGAGACAGGGAGGCTGTACCCAAAGGTATTGTGCGGGTGTTTTAATTCTAGGTCTGGTTGTTGTATTGTTATATTGGGATGTTCCTAAAATGGCTAAAGGAGAATTTGTATAGTCCTTTTATCGGGAACTAGCCCATTTACCTACGGTACTCAAACTTAAAACGATTGCCTTTGCTTATTGCCACATAACATCTGTTGTAGAGTGTTTAGTCCCTTTTTCACGTCTATTTGATAAACGTTTAGTCCACATTTTACCTTACCAAGATATTTGGGTCACATTAAAAACCTTGCGGCTGTCTGTCTGCTGGATTGTGTTAAAGTCGTCGGTCTTAGGGGATATAAACTTATATTGGATCTCTGCCCCACATCTTTCTAATTGAATTTCACAGGTACACAGAAAAGATAAGCTGGATAGCCTCATACGTGATTTACATAAGTTTATGTAACCGAAAGGTGAAGAGACCTGATATTGTCGACTATACTTGCCGTTGTTAAATGGCAGGGTAAAGTTTCAGGATGCCCTGTAATGGAGTTTTGTTGTACCCGCATCCATGGTTGTTCGTATGCCGGCGATTTGTGTTTTACTTACTCAAAGTATGATTATATATGTGTCATTATATTCAAGTGAAGCTTAAACAGATATTGCATGTGTAGTTTCGGATTGTAAAATCGTAATTTACTAAGTATGTAATGATAAGATATGTCACTTACTTCTAGTGTTGAGGGTATTGAAACAGTATGCCGAAGAACATTGATAGCATCATATTCCAATGTTTTACAGTTAAAGAAATTAATGCATTTTCGACATCTCTTCTGAGAGTAGAAGGTCTATAGAGCTGAACTATGTATTAATGATTTCAGAAATGGTTTTCTAAATGCATCTCCCAGAAGGCCAGTCCGACTTTAAACATAGCTGCGGGTCGGTGGGTTAGGCGAGTTGTTAGAGCGTTTGCTCGTCACAGCGAAGACCCGGGTTGGACACACTGGTACACACATGTGTGAAAGTCATTTCTGGTGTTCGTGATATTGTTTCAATGTTACAAAAAGCGGCGTAAAGTCAGACTCACTCACCTAATTAAACACGGTTGCCATTATTTCTTTATACCGTACCGTCAAGTAGTAATTTGAGACTTGAAAGAAATGTTTCTGAATGATATACTGTTGTGCTGACAACATGATGGCGACACACCATCGAAGTAACGTTTGCTTCTGAGTAGAGATGAAACATTAAAGTAGTTTCCATAATGGTACCAAATATAATTCTTGACAGTTCGTGTGTAATTTGTTCAGTCTTCATGTTTTATTCATTCATAAAGTTATCAATATTACAACGTGTAATGAGTCACTGAGAATGGTTTTACGCCGCTTTTAGTAACATTCCAGCAATATGGGCTTCACACATTGTACCACTGTGGGGAATGGAACCCGGATCTTCAGCGTGACGATGGCCCAGATGGTAAGGATGCTTGGTAAGGCTTGTATACTATCATATCTCTATGGTTACAGCATTGTTTCATTACACTTGTTACCACGCACAACTTTTATTCGTTTAATGTCTTGTCTATTTTTTTTTATGGATAACATTTGGCTATTCAAACTACTGATCCCTCTTGTCTCTTTTGTTATTAAACGATCAATCTTCTAGCTAGTAAACGTATATGTGGATTAAACATTTATGAGTATACTTAAATAGGCAGAATGTGGTATATGCACTATTCTGTAGTTTTGACCTTCTGACTTTACATTTTACATGGCAATTCAAAACGACTTGTCTCAGATATGGAAGTACTAGGCGAAAAGACTCCTATCACTCTATCTGTTAATGAAATATGATAGACACTGCATGTAATAGTATAACAGATGCTGTGACACAGCTGAACATATGTACATTTACAAGACCTCATACATGCATTTGCACCGTTTCAAATGTTTTTATTGTCTCTTTCTTATTTTCAAATCATTTATATTTTGTCCTGACCAAAAACAAATATTCGACAAATAAGTTTTCAAGTGAGCTTCTGTACCTCACGGCTCCACTACTTGGACACGTACAATTTCTTATTTTTCTACTTTACTTCATAAAAATGCTTATGTTATATACATAGAATAAACATTTCTGGACCGTTACACTTACTTGTGTTATGTTCTTGCTCTGTGTTTGAGTGAGTGAGTGAGTGAGTCCAAGGTGAACGTTCACAGGAACGTGTTGCAGAACGTGGACGTGGTAGCAAATTCCAAGTCTTGTCATTGCCAAGACCACAATGGGTGATATTGTCATTGGTAGAATGCCAAAGATGATAAAACAAGATTACAATATACTCATCCAGTCAGGTGTCATATCCAATATCTGGCTGCCATACAATTTTGTTCGTGCTTCCACTGGTAAGGCATGGAATACCATGACCATGACATGTAAACATCAATACAATAGCATTCTGATCCAAGGGATGAGTGGCATAACAAATATTGCTACAAACAAATCCTTACATGATGAAGGAATCAGCCGAAACCATGCATCAGTACCTCGGCTATAAAATCTGAAGACATTCATTTCCGCATTTGGGATAACGCATTTAGACGATAAGTAGTAATCCCGATGACCTCCATTTGTGTTCGACTTCTTGCAGATCGGAATCTTCGTGCATATGAATCAGAATGTTTGCGAGGAAATGTGGCCAAGTATAAATTAAGCAGCTCCTGATTATCGATGATCTGTTATTGATCAATCGCCGTCAAATAGCTAATTCTTTTCTGATTCACCCACCGGAAGTAAAAGGAAAACCTCAACTTCAAACCGTCCATTTATCCTTTTGTGGCGCAGTATTCCACATCTTCAACCTATTGTATATTTCATCATGTCTAAAGTACTGTACAATAGAACTATCTTCTTTCTTTGACGATTTCCAAGAGTGAGTCAGTGAGTTTAGTTTCAGCAATATTCCAGCTTTATGGCGGCAGTCTGTAAATAATCAACTCTAACGGGATCGGGTGGTCAGGCTCGCTGATTTGGTTGACACATGTCATCGGTTCCCAATTGCGTAGATCGATGCTCATGCTGTTGATCACTGAATTGTCTGGTCCAGACTCGATTATTTACAGACCGCCGCCATATCGCTGGAATATTGCGTAAAACTAAACCTCACTCATCTTCAACGGGTAAATAATTAACTCCAAGTACTGATTCACCCTTAGCTAGAAATACATGTAGCAATATTCCAGCAACCCTTGTTTTCGATGTCTTCTTTTCGGCGTTAAACAACAACCACACCAACCAACCAACCATTTTTTGATACAGGTGAACTGGAACATCATTCTCCCAAACACAACCAACACACATAGTTCTGATACCGTTCCTTTAGATTGTCGTTACACAGAGTTTCATACATGGCTTGAAACAAATATTCATAAATGTTTCAACCGTATTGAAGTAGAAAATGGTTCTCCTTGATTGTAGTTGTTGAAAATGGGGGCTATCTAAAGGGTATTCAACAAATATCCCTTGTTAGGGATGTATTTTGTATTTGAAAACAATCTGCAACGGAAAACGTGCTGAGTGTTTTGAGACCATATTTGAAATCAATCTGCAGCGGAAAACTGCTGAGTGTTTTGAGACCATATTTGAAATCAATCTGCAGCGGAAAACTGCTGAGTGTTTTGAGACCATATTTGAAATCAATCTGCAACGGAAAACTGCTGAGTGTTTTGAGACCATATTTGAAATCAATCTGCAGCGGAAAACTGCTGAGTGTTTTGAGACCATATTTCCATGCAACTTTGTAAAACCTGAACGCTGAGATACCATATGTTCTTTTCAAGTTCACGTGCGCCAACAAGAGAAAATTTTACTCCCGCTTCCTGAGGTTCGTGGGAACATGAGCTTTTGGTGTCTGTTGATTGATGTCCGCAAAGGCAACACTGACTGACAAACCTCACTTATTCTTTCCAAAGGGACCTTCGGGTGTCTATCCTGTAAGTATTAGAGGACCAAATACATGTAACAGCTAGCCCGTCTCTTCTGATTGTGCCTCTTCATTTCTCAGTGACACTGATTGGGATAATGGCGGAGTGGGCGTTCTGGAACCCACTGCTTCCGCGATTGCGCAATAAAGGACCGGAAGTGAAGACAGAAGCATATGGAACAGCAACATGGGTTTTAATCGTTCTATGCGTCATTATGTTTATATGTATGGTTGTAAGTATTGCGTCCGCTGTACATATCCGACGTCATAATTCACCACCAACCTATGCATTATAACGTAATCTGTTAATAGGGAACTTGGTAGTACATCTTTATCAACGGTTTTCATCATTTTCAGTGCATACGCTCAATGTGCCATATGTTGTTATGCAGAGATTAAATAAAAGAAAGAAATGTAGCGTGCGCCTTGATAGCTGTATATGTGGCGTCTTTCAGTTCCTTGTTCATTTGATATATAGGTTATATATGGTTATTCCAATAGTTACCTCCAAATTCAAGGAACTCGAATTTATAGAAACATCCCAGAGAAGTAAGTTATAAGCCATATGTATATACAATATATGATTATCAAGATATGGACTGTATAGCTGTACATTTGTCAAGATACACATTGGTAAACCGATGGTACGTATCCACTAGGAGTACATCTTAAATGTGTTTCTTCTTAAAACGGTTTTGTATCTGCAGTGGAAAATGAACCTGAGAATATAAACGCAAGGCAGAAGTAAAAACATAACGTTGCAGTTTGTTTAAATACTACTCTCATATTCTCTTATGTAAGTGTGTAAGTTCACGTCCGCTTCTCCCGCTTCTTAAGATTCGCTGGAACATGTATGAAACATTGATTTCGGTGTCTGTTGTTTGATATCCACGAATGCAACACTGACTGACAAACCTCACGTACTTTTTCAAAGGGACTTTTTGTGTCTATCCTGTCAGTGTTAAAGGACCAAATATATGTAACAGGTAGCCCTCCTCTCCTAATTGTGCCTCTTCACTTCGGACACTGATTGTGTTATTGACGGAGTTTATTGGTGTGATTTTAATGATACGTCCAGCATCGTTAAAGTGTCTATCTTAGCCTGGAGTATAGTTCCGTAGTTCCCGTTTGAAAGGAATATCTTCTCATACATAATTACATAATTATGCGGTAAATCTCACTTTTTATGATTCCATAAAAGAAATAATTATCCGTAGGTTGGGTGTTAGTTAAGAACTATTTACCAGCGTCAATTACCTTGAGCAGCGACCGTTTTCACAGCATGTTATGGATTTTCTTGGCAGGGTTACATTGCTTAATTGCAGCTGTCATGAACAAGAATACCACACATAGTTGTCAGTCCATACAATAGAAACTCTTTCCCGTATATGTTTCTGATTGGCCACTGAGTAGCCGAGTGGTTATAGTAAGTGAGTGAGTTTGGTTTTACGCCGATATTTGCAATATTCCATCAGTGTTACGGCGGGGGACACCAGAAATGGGCTTCACACAGTGTACCCATGTGGTTAATCGAACCGGGTCTTCGGCGTGTCGAGCCAACCCGATGGTTAAGTCTTTATATAAAATCTAAATCTAAAACAGTGCTTTGACTGTCTTTTGACTAGTAATTATAATTAAAACTTCTTCCCAATCGTTCTGTCCCAAAATTTCACATAAATGTTATCTATGAGGTATACACAAGATAGCAAACATATTGAAACCTACTTTCACAGACACGGTACTCCTAATGGAATCAAAGTTGTACATTTATTAATATTTTCGAGAAGTGGGTTGGATGGTTGGTTGTTTAACGCCGCACTCAGCAATGTTCCAGCTCTATGGCATCGGTCCGTAAATAATCGAGTCTGGACCCGAAAATCCAGTGATCAACACCACGAGCATCGATTGGCATTCGATGACATGTGTCAACCAAGTCAGCGAGCCTGACCACCCGATCCCGTTAGTCGCCTCTTACGTCGAGCACGGGTAACTGAAGATCAATTCTAACCCGAATCTTCACGGGTACTTCTCAAGAAGGAACGAGTCTGAGGTATATCAGTGATTGAAAACTCGTTTCTCTTTCAAGCTACACTGAGGCCTTTCGTCCCTGGATTCACAGCAGAGGCCATTATTAAAATAATATACCATTATCACAATAAGTCATGTTTATTCTCACGAAGATGAATGAATGATATAAAAATATCCGAATGTGTTTGGTAAATGTATTTGTAAAATAGAAGTTTGGCATTCCGATGGGTAATCCTAGTCAACGAAGCATTGTCATGAAATAGTGTCTAGTAGCTTGTACCTGACATTTGATGTAATTGTCACATAAGTGGTGTTTCTATCAGGCTGACCCAGTTGTGATGCTTATTAGCACTGCATCAACAAGGCCGTATTCCCTATCTGCCCATTCAATGCGAATTCAAAGCAGCGAGAACAGTGGAATAGTTTAGAGACACTGAAGGTTCCGGAGTCCATCCCAAAAAATGTTTAGCTTATGGACAATTTCTGTTGTTGTTTCCTACTTGGCAACAATAGTGATTATATCCCAAGCCGAGGAATTCGTGGTACGAGATACCCTTTATGGTCGGATCAGAGGCACTGTTAAAACTGTGCTGGGTTCCAAGAAGGTTGAACGATACCTGAGCATTCCCTATGCAGCACCTCCTGTAGGAGAACTCCGATTTGAGGTGAGTCGTACTTTGAATAATTTTAAAATATTTGAATATTGCACAAATAAAATATGCTGAATGTGTGGTATGTATTATTAAGTTATTATTATGTCGACGACGATGATGATTCTGATTGTTATTTACAGATTAAAATATAATTTGTGGCGATGAGGGCTTTAGTGATCCTGGCACTGGCGGGCTGGTTAGGCTCATTATTCGCCTACGGAAGCGCTGCCACTGCCTCTATCACCAGCAGCAGCTCAAGGCCCATACCCATAGCCCATGCAGCACAGACAGCGCAAGGGACGTCTCCCTGGAAGCGCTACCCTGTCGAACCCACCAAGAACTTTTCGGAGGATTTGAAGACTCTCCAACACTGCAGCCCTCTCTATTACCCAGATTGTCAGAAGGGCTGTGTTAGTGGCTGCAAACCCGGGCACTCTCCCAATGTCAGTCAAGAGAGGTACCAAACTTCAAGGGGCAGAACTTGGCCCTTGGGATGTAAGCGTTTCATTTAATTAACAACGTCCGCATATTTATCATTCATCCTCCATGAGGTACAGAAAATTAAATTCATTGGCTTCATCATTAAGAACTAGGTTTGGTTGCATGAATTGAATGAAGGGGTCGGTTGGATTGCTATTCTATTCCATACAGAGTAAATATATACACGATGCAGTGGTTTCTCCTTCTCAATAATTCTGGGAAGACGGTGAATGACTTCACCTGGTCTACACCTAATGATGCGCCTGCCAGCAGTACCTCGCCATCAACAAAATTTCAACGTCGACGTCCTGTTCAACAACCTTGGTGTGCCTACACTAGCTGTGTAATTCCTTATTGTATTCTTCATGAGTCTTGACATGTCTCACCAGGGTATTATCAAAATAATACTTTAAATGTCTTTCTAACCATCGAGAAAACAATAGTTACGAAGACATTATCACTTCAAGCACCTGTTGTAGCATCTCATCAATTGATGAATTGATTTTCAGCAACCAATGTTTGTCGTAAGATGCGACTAACGGGATCAGGTAGTCTGGGTCGCTGATTGGGTGGATACATGTCATCGTATCCCAGTTGCGTAGATCGATGTTCATGTTGTTGATCACTGGATCACGTTGTTGACTGGATCAGCCAGACTTGATTATCTACAGACCGCCGCAATACAGCTGGAATATTGCTGAGTGCGGCGTTTGTTAAACAACAAACCAACCAACTATAATATCATTACTATCTGATTAACATTAAAGGTTTTAATTCCTCTTCCTGTACTTCTTCAGATTATGGATAAGTTTTTGATTTTTAGCGTTTCTTTTCGCCCGAATCGTAAAAGCTTTTGTTCTGATGTTTTTACTAATATTTTCAAGATCAGTCCAGTCCTTTGTGATGGACCCACAGGCACCTATTGACATCTCCCTTAATCAAAGCATCATCATGTAGATGCCCTATATGCTCTCATAGCTTTGAATAAACGAATCTGTCCAAATCACAAACGTGAAAATGACGTTATAAATTCTACAACCCGTACATGTTTTAGCATCACGCTGATATTTGTTGTACAGTACCCCGAGGAACCCACTGCATGGAAAGATGTACGAAACACGACAGCGCTTCCCCCTGCTTGTCCCCAAAGACCGGCATTGTTGTCCTACGTGTCTTCACACCGTCCTGGATTCAATAACACTGACGAGGACTGTTTATACATGAACATATATGTTCCGCAGGTACGTCCGTTTTATCAGTTATTGTTAATACTGTAGTGGAAAACGAAATTTTCAATAAAAGTTATTGGTTGCAGAAAACACTTTAGAATATTTTAATTGATTCATTTGTAGAAAGAAAGCACAAATGTGTTGTCATGTAATTTCCCGTTTGGCACGGCAAGTCATAAGTGTTAGACTTGTTAAGGAATTATTCTTGATGCTTTACGGTATTTACTGTTCACGTCATGTCAAATGGTATCATCTGTAAACTATCGAGAAGTAAATTCGTTCCAATCTCTCTCCCAATATCATACTCTATTTTAAATAAAACCAGAGTCTAAAAATATTATCTTCCAGTATTTACCAGAACGATTATTTTGAATAACCCGTTGAACACAAGCAAAGGAGCCGTTTTATGTATATTAACACACACTAATATAGTTATCTTGAAGACTGTAGCTGAACATAAGTTCATCATTCCATGCCATCTGTTGTCAAGATTGGAGAAGATAGGATCAAGATGGCGGTCCTTGTTCACATTCATGGGGGCAGCAATCATGCGGGCATGGGAGCCATGTTAGATGTGGATACCTTGGCAGCAGAAGGGGAGATCATTGTTGTCAATTTTAACTACAGACTAGGTGCATTCGGTACGTAGAAATACCGAATCATAGAATGTTCCAGAAAACACTCGTGATGATCGAATTAACTTTGATATATACTGACCAGAAAATCGTTACATAACTAAACGTATTAGTAGCTGAAAAGTTATGATGACGTTACAAGTTACCCACAAAAAGAGTGGCAATGTCTCACATGTTGTAGTAATCACCATAATGTGACAAGGCCTTTCTAATATTTACAACGCCGTCAATTGTATATATTGCAGGTTTCCTAAGTGGTGGACAGCCGGAGTTTCCAGGAAACTATGGTCTGCTGGACCAAACTGCAGCGCTACAATGGGTTTCTCAAAATATTCATTTCTTTGGAGGTGATCCAAGCAAGGTTACCGTCGAAGGACACAGTGCCGGGGCCGCAGATGTTGGCTACCATATTGTGTCACCACTGTCAAAAGGTACATATTAGACTCTTGCCAAGGGCGTAGCTACCATCATAAAAAAAGCCCGGGCTTACACATTTTTGTTGCTAAAAAGGTTGGGCAAGCCCTCATTACTATCTGAATATAAAGCTTTGCAACCTATCGGGCTTACACGAACAAATTCGCTTGCTATGCGCCTGCTTGCGCCACAAGCATCGATCTTCCCTTTCACCTACCGTATAAACAATCAAATGGTCATTTTCAGGATTATTCCGTTTCGCCATCATACAAAGTGGGTCGCCAACGGCCGATTGGGCATCAGCACTTCAGCATCCAGAGGTTCTTACCAGCTTAGGCGAGGATATCGGTTGCAGCAGTTCCAAGGATCTGCAAAAACTAAAACAGTGTCTAAAGACGAAGACACTGAAAGAAATACACGGAACTGTTTACGCGCGTCTTGGTGTAAGTATGTGGCTGCTGTGTGGCTTGAAGCCTGAATATTTTACTGCAACTTTTCTTAGGTTGATGCATGCCAGTCAGGGTCACTTTCTTTTACTGGATTGGTTGGTTGGTTGGTTGGTTAACACCGTACTCAGCAACATTCCAGCTACAGTATATGGCGGCGGTCTGTAAGTAATCGAGTCTGGACTAGACAATACAGTAATCGTCATCACGAGAATCCATCTTCTCAATTGGGATACGATGACATGTGCCAAACAAGTCAGCGAGCCTGACCACCCGATCCTGTAGCCTCTTACGACAAGCATGGTTTGCTGAAGACTAATTCTAATCCAGATCTTCACGGGTCCTGCTCATGCAGGACTATTTGCACCTTTACACATAGTCAATATCTTATTTTAGTTTATATTCCGCAAAAATATATCAAGATACTTGTAATGAACTGTAGGGTAACCCTGAGTGCATTATTTTTCCAGTGTTCTTCTTCGGGACTTTGTTTGCGCATAGTAGTAGACGATTTCTTTGTGGAAAAGCACGTGGACACTCTGTTTAAAGAGGCTGAACTGAATGGGGAAGCCTTTATGGCTGGAATAACAAGGGATGAAGGTACATTCTTAGAAGACTTAGATACTTGCAAATAGGATTAATACTTAGGTTGGTAGTTTGATTAGGTGCCATTAAGTCCAGTGTCAAATACTTCCGTTTTACAGCCCTATGAGGATTTTTACACATTTCGGCTATATGAAAGGACCAGTTGAAGAAAGCGAATATTCGCGTTCTTGTCAAATGTGTTTTAATTGATTTTGAAAACATAATCTGGAACTATTGAATTTGAAATAGAATCGTAAGATGAGCTGACGTACCCTAATATTGTCTTCCTGGTGTTGGACAGGATAGTCTCACCTTTTCGGAACTGTCTGGTATCATTACAAATTTAACAGATTATTAGTGTCCAGTCGGACACTTCACGATAGTGAGTGAGTGAGTTTATGTCTGTAAGTAATCGAGTCTGGACCAGACAATCCAGCGACAAAAGCATGAACATCGATCTACGCTATTGGGATACGATGACATGTGTCAACCAGGTCAGCGAGCCTGACCACCCGATCCCGTTAGTCGCCTCTTACTAGAAGCATGGGTTGCTGAAAACCAATTCTAACCCGCATCTTCACGGGAACTTCACGATAGACTCGGTAAAGCATTCATAACTGAGTTATGGCACACATGAAGGGGGTACATAAGTGGAGGATTACCTATGCTGACCTGTACCATATGTTGCCGTGTTTGTACCGTTGAGCAACTGCCTTGCCTTTGCATGTGTTAGTGACAGGGGCAAACCAGTGGGACAGGATAACCTCACCTCTTGGTGAATAGCATATCATACACTGGGAACACATGGTAGTGATTAACTCGTACAGTAGACGCTGGTTCTAGCAGATATTTCTCAGCTTTATGGAACATCTTTTTGTCTTTTTAGTTATTCGCATCCTCTTGACGTTGTTGTGAGTATGTAGTTAACATTCTCACATTGATGAGAGTATTTGCGGGCAAGGTTATCATGGGCATACTGATAATATGCATTTGCTGATCTAACACTTCCAGTTGTATATGTACATATTCTGTCATCCTTTAGGAAGGGAATGGGGCTTATACAGTTCCATTTTGCTGACCCCAAAGGATATGCAAATCGACAACTTCAATTTGGGTACGTATCTAAACTTAAATCCCCAGGACTGAGGACCTAGTGCATATATGGATCTAACAGTAAATGCAAATGCTACCCACAGAAGAGTTTGCAGTTATGTCGTACAAAAATATTTTTCGTGTCTTATGTTTGTTTGTTATTTATTTAACGCCGCACTCAGCAATATTCCAGCTATATGACGGTGGTCTGTAAATAATCAAGTCTGGACCAGACAATCCAGTGATCAAGATCATGAGCATGGATCTACGCAATCGGGATACAATTAGTTATTTCCCCGTTGAAGAGTGAGTTTAGTTTTACGCAATATTCCAGCTACATGGTGGTGGTCTGTAAATAATCGAGTCTGGACCAGACAATACAGTAATCATCATCACAAGAATCGATACTCGCAATTGGAATACGATGACATGTGCCAACCAAGCCGGCCAGCCTGAACGCCTCTGACGACAAGCATGGGTTACAAGATCAATTCTTACCCGTATCTTCACTGGCCTGTGTGTTATGTCCATTCTGACCCTAAAGTGACTTAATAAACAATCACAATTTATTGTTAAAAAAGTCATAAAGAGTATGAGAAATGATATATCATTACAGTGGAAATTTCTCTTTCTAGTTGAAAGCAGCGTCATTGCTCATGAGTACTACCCATGGAATCACCCTCAGAACAAGACGGCTCGTGCTATTGCAATGGGTGAAGTAAGTATGTAATGGAATAACGAACCCCACATGTTCCTTTAGAAAAAAGTTCCTTCTAAATATTTCTCTGTTGTAGCTCCATAGTAGTAATCAAAGCCTGAAGTTATCAATGAATGATTGGCGAGTGCTACAAAAAATAGGAGTGAGTGAGTGAGTTACGATTTATAGTCACATCGGCAATATTTCAGCCATATCGATACTTTAACAAATTACAAATTCATAATAAATGCAATCAAATCATAAAAAAACCTGTCGACGAAGGAGAGTAAAATAACTAGATTATCAAAGTTAGAGAATCAAAACTAGCATGTAACTGTAAACTTAAACAAATTTTATGAACAATGCAGTATATAAAAACGGCCAAGAGATCACCAGCAACTGAAGGTTGGTCACCATACTTGAGACCATGGGGACTTACAGTACCTTTGCTACCTGCATAGACCCTAGCTGGATTTACACCATCCCTTCACTGGCGATTGTAGGAACTTTAGCCTGAATTTAAAATAACAGAAATTCTACATTTGAAATGTGGTAAGTTCAAATTTACTTTCAATGTTTCGGGACGTACGTACCCTCTCAGGAGTACAATAATTTTACAAATAATAGGATCATTGCCATTTTACCAGTATTTGCAATCTGTGTGAGAACAAAAACTGCATGCTCTAACAATGTTTTTCAAAATATTTTGTGGATTGTCATCCGCTTCCAGGACGTATTCCTTAACTATTACCCATTTCTTGAGGGCTACACGTGCACGATGAATATGTATGTATATAGGATTATAGGAGATCGGCTGGATTCAATTACAGTGTGGCACCATCATAGTTTCAATCTCATTCGAAAACATTAAGCGATGGGTTTTTTCACTGTTGGTCGTTGCAATTCCTAGAACCTTATGTCTTTCTATGTGATAACGTTTCAATCGCAGGGGTGGTGATGCACTGGTGTCAGTTTTGTCCTGAAAGATTATTAATATAACCATTGAAACTCTCGTGAAAATGAAGTGTGCACCCCCTCCCCCTTTTCTCAAGAGTGTGCACCCGATCGCCCTTTCTCAAAAAGCTGATTCCGCCCCTGCATGGGTACCATTTCTGGTGTACCCCGCCGTGATATTCCTGGGATATTGCTAAAAGTGGCGTAAAACTAAACTCACTCACTCATAGTGTCAATACTAACAGAAATAGCATTTCATTCTTTGGTTCCACTGTTATGTTCATTCCTCTTAGTGGGTGTTACTCGTCCTCCAGAACCCAGGCCAACAAAGCGTTTGTAGCACTTTTGTAATCGTGTGATACACTATGTAGCTACGATAGCTCGTAACGCTACGAACACTTTGTGGATCAGGACCTTCTCTCTTCTAGATTTGGGGCGATAACGACATAGCTGCTCCTACCTTCGATATAGCTACACGTATCGCTGCCAGGACGGACAACATCTACTTTTATTCCTTTGATTATGCATCACCTTCTGCCAAGGTGCAAGGTACGTACGTTGTTGACATTGATGTTGTTAGGTGAGGGGTGTATATTTGCTTTACAATAGCACAGCTTGTGATTACTAAATTCCAATGGTTATGGATGATGGCACATGGGATTAAGTGTGATAGTGGTGTGTGGTTGCGTGAGTGAGTGAGGTATAAACCCCGAGACCTACTTTACATTTTGAACAAATACCAACACAAAATGTACAGGTACGGCTGAATATTTCTGAAGAGTTTTCTAAAAGCTTACTTGTAGTAAATCCTCAGCCTGTAATTATTTACAGAACATTCGCAAGTTGTTGTTTCAATCTCATTACTGACGGTGTGTGTCATGGACGAGGTTCATTCCATGACTGACATTATATTTGGAATTATCATTGACCACCTGTAGGCGTCCCACATGGACGCGACCTGTTCTACCTCTTCGGCTGTCCTTTCTCTGGACATCCCCTGTACAACTATACGGACGAGGATCGAGAGGTCAGCAAAGTCTTCATGAACATGTGGATCAACTTCGTCAAGACAGGGTGAGGAAATTACCTCCCAATGTAAAAAAAACGTTTTTCACCTGTCACAGTGTTCGGACATGAAAGTAAATCAAAGGTTTCAAACTGCCCCACATTTACTAAATGTCGAAATTAAAAAGATCTTGAACGTTATTTTCTCTATTTCTTTTTTTTAGGCATATTAATTAAATCAATATTTTTATTGCCGCCAGACAATAAAATCAGTTCCTCGTATCTTATGCGATATTTACAGCATGGTGTCGTGTCAGGTCGTGAGCAAATGGCGCCATGAGTTTCTCCATTTGGCAGGATTTTATTCTGCTTTTCCTTTCGTTGGTGTGAGTTGGCACATGTAATAAGGAACATCCCTGCTGTGACAGTTTAGGACAATGAACATGATAAATAAGTGTCAAGCACTTCTTTCATGGCGTAGCATTAAAATTGATAATGAACGCCAAGCTCATCATTGACTTCATCAAAAGATGGTTCATTCCATATAGCGAATATTACGTAACTCTTTCCTTACATATACATTTCACTTTTTCAGGAAGCCTTCGTCCACAGTCGAAACAGACCCAGTATACTTCCAACAGTTTGATAGCGAGATTCAAGCATACATGAAAATCGATGGGGTTGATGGGAAGGGAACAGTAAAGACAGCATACAAGCCTCGGGCTCGCCAGATGGCCTTCTGGAATAGTGTGATGCCACAGATTATTGCTCTCCAATCAAACACGACACAAACTGAAAAAGAAAAATACGGTGTTCTAACCTGGACTTTTCTTTTTGTGAGTGTGCTATTGTTGTGTGTCTTTGCAGGTGCCGTGTGTGCGGTACGAAAACATTGTCATTATAGGCAAGCAAACTAAACGTCGTTGGTACCAGTGAAGGTCCGGGTTAGAACGAACCTTCAGTAACCCATGCTTGTCGTAAGAGCCGACTAACGGGATCGGGTGGTCAGGTTCGCTGACTTGGTTGACACATGTCATCGGTTCCCAATTGTGCAGATCGATGCTCATGCTGTTGATCACTGGATTGTCTGGTCCAGACTCAATTATGTACAGACCGCCACCATATAGCTGGAATATTGCTGAGTGCGGCGTAAAACTAAACTCACTCGCTCAAACGTCGTTGTAGTTGCATGCCGTAATTAGGTATGGAGTAATTTCTTTGATCACATGTATTGGCCACAGAATGACACCATGGAAGATTCTTTGCCTGTCATATTCCTTTTCTCGTAGGTTTTGCCATTGTAATTTCTCATAAAAGATGTCCACACAGTGACAGTGTTCGAAATGGTTTATATGTTCAGAGAAGAATTAAACCCAACACATATACTCTCTCAACACACGAGTCTATTTTTGGTTCTTTCAAAAACTCAAGTATAATATTACTATACTGTCATCAGTGATCTCATTATATAACTGGGGGCGGTGGGGTAGCCTTGTGGTTAAAGCGTTCGCTCTTTACACCGAAGACCCGGGTTCGACTCCCTACATGGGTACAATGTGTGGAGCCCATTTCTGGTGCCTCCCGTCGTGATATTGCTTGAATATTGCTGAAAGCGGCGTAAAACTAAACTGACTCACTTACTTGTGGGTTATAAACAGATCACATCACATTTCAGTGCGGTTTTAAACCCTAATCACTTATTCAGTCACTCACAGAACGACTTACACTGACACTCACTCTCATAAATATTATCTATAACTAAACTCACTCACTCACTGTATAAATCTTGTCATAAATCCTCATGACATTTGAATGGGTGAAAAAGCAGGCGATACTAATATATGTGCATTGGTATAAACACGTATTTTCCATGCTACATGCATATGTTTTCATGATACGACTTCAAGACACAATGCATGATAAAATAGACATTAGAAACGCTAATTCCATTTTCAAAGGAAACGAAAAAAGGCCTAACCAAACTGAAGTAAATCTGAATTAAGGAAAGTACATTGGCTTGTCGAGGCTTACATGCATATTGCCCATCGTGAACTAGTCATTGGTCCTTGTTCAAGTTTATGTTGTGCATTCTTGTAGATCATGGTGTATCGACATATGACATAACGATACTACATGTAGTGCCTTGGTCAGAAGTCAGAAAACAAAAGAACTTCATTTCGAACTCTTTGGTGAATGAAAGACTGTATTGGCTATGGCAACAAGTATTTATAGAGAGCGCTTTTCTCGGAGTGCTTACAACTGCGTCATCATATCTCCACTTGCTGTTGGATTTTGTATCTCTATTTACCATTAGATTATTTTGATATCACAAAGATAAGAAAATATAAGAATATATGGTTGTATAACTATTTTATTACAACAAGAGCCACGTATCAGATGCTTAGCATTGTGGATAAATACATGAATACTGCATTTTATTTGGGAATTATAAATAGAAAACGTTAAATGTCCTTCACTGGTCCTTCATTAATGTACAGTGTCAACTTACCAGAGCCTTGAATACTGTGTCAAAGTAAGATAAGGCTTTATCTCCCAATTTCTGAAAAGAACACATCAAAGGCAAGGGTTGCTGGAATATTGCTTAATGTATTTCAAGCTAAGGATGAATCAGTACTGGGAATTAGTTATTACCCGTTGAAGAGGAGTGAGTTTAGTTTTATTCCAGCTATATGGCGGTGGCCTGTAAATAATCGAGGCTAGACAATCCAGTGATCAACATCATGAGCATCGATCTACGGAATTATGATACGATGACATGTGTCAACCAAGTCAGCGAGTCTGACCACCCGATCCCGTTAGTCGCCTCGTACGACAAGCATGGGTTACTGAAGATCAATTCTAACCTGGATCTTCACGGGTTGTTGGAGAGGAACAAGCAAATGTTAACGATGTTAGGATCTACAACGTAACGTCGCATCTATTGCAATAAAGAAGATTTCTATCCATAAAAAGTATTCCTCTTCATCATACCGGCTTCTAAATGCCACTTAAAAAGGTATATGAAAAGCATGTTATATGGTAATTAATAGATTATACTCATCGAATTATCATACTTAATAATCAAATCTGATTGGTTCTATTGGAAATTACGAAGACTCTCTTGCATAGACAAGCTAAATATTGTAACATTAGAGTTGTTCCCCTTCAAAGCAGAAACAAACGACAAAGGAAACACATTATTATGTCATGGATGCTCTTGGATTATTATATAACAAAACGAAACTTATAAGTAGATTTCAGAATTTGTTCAGGTCACGACCGCGACGCTACCATGTAAACCACACAGATACTTGTTGTATATTCACTGATTGGACAGGACGGTGTCGGCCCAGGAAAGCGAAATTTTAATATTCCCTATTCCCGGTAAAGCGAAAACCAAAGTTGTGCTAGAAGTGCCGCCAAAGCGAATTGCTATGAAACCATCGGATTACCGTACTTCAGATTAGCGCGCGACCCCAATACTCGATCTGTGATCCTCCTAACTGAGATGAAGTTTCAGTTGTTTTAAGTTTCAGCACGTACGTGACCCTACATAACTATAGTTTTATTAATTCATGTAATGAATTATTATCATTGTTAAAAGAACCTTATTGTTCCTGGCCGGATTTGTATCCAAGTTCATTTTAAGATTGTTTGTAAACACTTTGTCATTTAGTCATCTTGTTGTACATTGTGTATGTACTCCTTTGTTATACTCATGTACCACCGATATCTGTTTTCCCCGGTGAGCGGGCATATCATAGTGAACTACCTGAGGGAAGTTGATCTGTATCATAAATTGTAACTATGTAATGTGAATAACGATTTGGGTGCTTTTGAATTTAGTGCTATGATATTTTCTGTTTTTTTAATAACAATGTCATGAACAAATATGTTTTAATATAAAACTCATTTAAAATGTTTATGAATGCAGACTTGATTTCGTCACTATATGGCTGGAATAATGCCGATGTGACGTAAATCCCAACTCAACTAAACTCAACCTTTCTGGCACTCCACGACAAAACATAAGAAGTAGCTTTTATCATCTCCGCAGTTGCTAGAAATCTCCTTATTCCTATCGATTGTTTGTGTAAATGTTTTGACTGCATGATCCTACCAATCATGTTATATGGTTGCGAGGTGTGGGGACATTCAAATATAGACATTTTAGAAAATGTACACAGGCTATTCATGAAATCTGTCCTGAAACTACGCAAGAGTACACACACCATCCTATATTAAAAAGTGATTATTTCAGTTTGGTTTAAACCTGCCACTAATGTACATCAAAATAAAATGTCAGTTATAATTCACAATGTTTTATAACAAATGCTAGAAAATAATATGTATGCTTCACCATGGCTCGCTAATGTTAAACGTATTTATTTATTTATAAAATTTCTACCATGACTACGGTATCAGGCGACGATTCACATTTCTTTGTTTTTCTTGTGTATTGAGAGTCCCGGGAACGCTAAATTCAGTGTTCACTGTAGCTTGACCGTTCCCACGAAGGCGACACCTAAATTGAGAAGGTTTGGTCCAGATTTCGCTTTCCCAGGCCATAACCGACAGGACAAGCGCAAATATATATCTAAATGAAAGTTTAAAAACATTCGGCATAAATAGTTTGCATTCTGATAGAATGTCACATTAGTAGTGTTCCATTCCAACTGACCTAGTTGTAATATTTACTGGCACTGCATCAACTGGGGTATATCTCCATCAGCAATCTTGATGTGAGCTGAGTCAGAGCGGACTATCGTGAAGATATTGAAAGTTCCGGAATCCAGTTTATAGATGTCTTCCTTTAGGAGAGTGTTTGTCGGTGTTTTCTACTTGGCAACAATAGTGATTACATTTGAAGCTGAGGAATTCGTGGTACGGGATACCCTTTATGGTCGGATCAGAGGCACTGTTAAAACTGTGCTGGGTTCCAAGCAGGTTGAACGATACCTGAGCATTCCCTATGCAGCACCTCCTGTAGGAGAACTCCGATTTGAGGTGAGATGTAAAATAGGTGTTTGAATGACATGACCCGAGGGAACTTCATCAGGTTATGGATATTTTAAAAATATTTTTCGCCCGAATCGTATGTGTGTAAGTTTCATTTATGTTCCGCGTTAGTATAGGTGACATGATAACATTTTTAACCACTATCTCAAGCTAATCACATTTGAAGCAAAATCTTGTGTTATGATGTTTTGATTAATATTTTGAATGATTGATGACTGGTTCAGTCTGTTACTGTCTACATCTCTCTTACAAAATGCCTTGTATACGTTAATAACCTTTAAGAAAATAAATCTGTCAAAGCACAAACGTGAAAATGACGTTATAAATACAGCCAGTGCATGTTTTAGCATCACACCGATATTTGTTCTACAGAACCCTGAGAAACCAACTATATGGAAAGGTACACGACACGACACGACAGGTACGTTCACATAATCCGTATTGTTCATTTAAAAAGTTGATCTTGGGTCGAACGGTGTGCAGAACGTTTAATCAGAATAGTCAGGAACTTTTGTTTTGCGTTTTTCAAGAAAAGCTATATTTTGAAAATAGCAGACACTTATGGAGATAGGGACATTGGTAAGGATCCCTTGAGAATTTAGATCAACTCTACACTTCATTAATTATAATACAATCATGTATTGACTATTTTATCTATATAAATCTTTCGCCATAAATGTTAGATCTAATGCAGAATCAAGTTGACAAGGTGTTGGTTTGACTGAAGAATATTTTATGTTGACGAATATTCACTTCACAAGTATAAACATTCGTGTTCTCAAACAATGGCTTCTGTAGGAGCACCTAAATTTGTACTAGGCTTAAATGTTTGACACACATTGTGGTGATTTGGTGATTACCTGCACTATATCGAGAAACCAAGCATAATTTAACTACTCATGGAGTTTCTGAATACACTTTCATTAGAATAAGTATCTACTCTGACGAGATATTAGACCACAAAACCAGCATGGATGTTG